TGTCACTTCCGGCATAGGCAAGAATGGCATACGTGGCCTCGCCGTGGACTGGATTGCTGGTACGCTACTTCTGTATTCAGGATAGCAACACTAGGGAATGTACTATACTCACTAACTTGACCCTCTCTCTCTCTCTCTCTCTCTCTCTCTCTCTCTCGCTCTCTCGCTCTCTCGCTCTCTCTTTCTCTCTTTCTCTCTCTCTCTGTCTCTCTGTCTCTCTCTCTCACTCCCACGCTCACACAATCCACTTTCTCTCTCCAAACTCTCCTTTTCTCCCTAATTATATACCCCCCCCCCCCGCCTGGCACGAGCAGCACGTCAGCGGCAGGGTAAAAAACACGGGAGCGATGAACGATTCGCTCTTCAAACCTCCGAAATCGCTCCCGTGAGGCTCAAAATAGCTCCCGTAAAATTTTTGACGAGAGCTATTTTTCCCACAGACCTTTGAAAAAAAGCTCCCGTAAAAAAAAATGTAATTTCCCCTGGTCAGCGGCGCGTCATCATCTACGTTACAGGCAACGTGTACTTCACGAACGCCGGCTCGCGCTTCACCTACCTCGAGGTGATGAAGCTGAATGGAAGTGACCGCACAGTGCTGCTCAGCACGCAGGTCGACGAGCCGCGACAGATCGCCGTCAACCCCGTGCAGCGCTACCTCTACTGGGTCGACTACGGCCAGTTCCCGAAGGTCGTCATGGCGCTGATGGACGGCAGCAATCGGACGGTGATCGCAGCCGACGACGTCTCGATGCCGCGCGACATCACCGTCGACATACTCACGCATGACGTCTACTGGATCGACAGCGACAAGGAGTGGATACAGGTAATGGTGCGACCACCAGGCAATCGAGAATAACAACCTTTATATAGTTTCGTCAACTGAACAGAACCCTTGTCAATCTCATGTGGTTTGTTTGTGCACATACCCTCTATTACTCAGTCATCTGCTATGTTTCGCCTGAGGTATCAAGCACCAGACCTACTCCTCCAAGTTCGGCGTGTTTCGTCGTATTGGTGACGCGCATGAAAGGATTACACATTTGGTACTGTCGATTTTCACCCCACCACCTCACTTAGACGGCCGTCTCGTTACAGACATGTACCGTACATTTGGTACTATCGATCTTCACTGTCTTACTGTCCCCCCCCCCGCCCTTACGTATATATCTCGTTACAGACATGTACCGTACATTTGGTACATCGATCTTCACTGTCTTACTGTCCCTCACGTTCACATATATCTCGTTACAGACATGTACCGTACATTTGGTACCATCGATCTTCACTGTCTTACTGTCCCCTACCCTCACGTTCACATATATCTCGTTACAGACATGTACCGTACATTTGGTTGATCTTCACTGTCTTACTGCCCCCTGCCCTCACGTTCACGTCTGTCTCATTACAGAGGGTCGACTACCTGGGCAAGAACAGGATGACGATTCGCGAGAACATTCCGAGCGGCTACGGCCTCGCGATCTACACCAACTACATGTACTGGGTCGACCGCAACCTGAAGAAGATCTTCCGCGCGAGCAAGCAGCCGGGCAACACGTCCGAGCCGGAGGTGATCAAGAGCGGCATCGAGAAGCTGCGCGACGTCACCGTGTTCGACAAGATCAGCCAGCCGAAAGGTGAGACCGCCGGCGCGCCCCCTGGTGGTGGCCAATGCCCGTCCCAGCGGGCCTCTCTCTCGCACGTTCGAGTGATGTCCGCCGCGGCGAGTTTGTGACGCGCAAAGTCCGCGCAGCGAGTTTGTGACCCGACTTTCGATGCGTTTCTGTGAGCCTTATCATCGATGTAGTTTATTTGATTGTGATTTAATTAACGTAGTTATTACTGTATACGCTATATATTTCGCGAATTTCGCGAATGTGTCCTCGACCGCGAAAATACCATCACGCAAATAGTTCATACCTAATAATACCGAATAATTAATAATTCACCGACCGCGAAATTGTCCGTCAAGTCTGAATTCGCGAAAATATCTGTATGCGAAAAATATGGCGTATACAGTATTTATGGTGCTAACTAATAGTTATTTCTGTCTCGATTGTAACCTGGCACTGCTGTGAGACTAAACGTCTTTGTGATGCATGCTGTGCAATGAGTTCCACGGTTTCTCAGAGGTTCTGCTCAACTTGTATGGTGATTGGCACGTGCCTGCTTGTGCTACCGTTTGCAGGTACCAGCCTCTGCGTGTTCAGCAACAGTGGCTGTGAGCAGCTCTGCTTCCCAATGCCCCGCACGTTCCCCAGATGTGCGTGTTACAGCGGAAAGCTCGCCAGCGATGGAAAGAAGTGTATACGTAAGTTTCGCACGTGTTTTGAATGGCAGTGTGTTGTGCTGTCATACCAGAGGAACAGAAGGCGGTACAGCCTCTCGCATGTCATCAGCATTTCGCATTAGAGATATCGCTCTGCTTACACACACAGATTCGTATAACTACTGGTCGAAGCTGTTCTGATTACAATGTTTACAAGGTGTATACGTAGCTACGTTGGTGGCTGCTTTAATTTATTTATCAGGGCTGCAGGTCAATAGTTATATCTTGGTGTGTAAGTTACATAAATAATCATAACATTAATGTTATGATAAGTGGGGAAATCCTTTCATCAAGTGATCCACACTAGTCTCTGAGAAAGTTTCTAGATGCAATGAAGAGTGTGGGCTGTAGCAATCTACTTCAGGCTGTTTGCCGAGAAGATATATAGACTGATTGCTGATTGATTGATAGATTATTGATTGATTGATTGATAGATTGCTGAGAGACATATTGTGGCTGACATATCGATAATAGGAACTGACATACATCGGCACACCTTGATCTGTTGATGTTGCAGAGGACGATGCTTACCTCATCTATGTAACTGAAAACTCAGTGCGCAGCGCCTTCCTAGACCCACAGATTAGCTCTGTGCCATGGCCACCAGTCACTCATCTCAATATCTCCACGGCTGTTGAGTTTGACTACACGAATAAGCGGATCTTCTTCACTCGTAAGTGTTCCTGGAATTGAAGCCGCTTACCTCGAGTGTGTTTTGCCATGTTGTCTTCATACTTAGTCACTCTGCTGGTCATATTCGTCTAAGTGTGAGTGAGTTTAGAGTTGATAGATAGATCAATGTAATGCATTTGTAATCAATGTTTATAATGGGTGTTTTTCATGAATAAGTGTAACTGGTAAGTGACTGATATGACTTTTTAAAATTCTGTACCCAGTATGTCATCATAATTTTATGTTTTTTGACATTTTACTTTAATGACTCGTAATGTCATTATTAGGTAACTTCATTGCATAAGATGAGGTTGGAAACAATTTCATGCAACCACCCTAACTATAATGTCACAGATATAAGATATATGCCATCGGATATAAGATATAATTTATACTTGGTTAAACAGAAGAGTCTCTTAACAAGGCATCATCTTAATTAACTATTGAGCTAAAATATAGAATTGATTGGCATTGGTGGGTATATGGTGATGCATTTCAGCATGATGAAACAGTTTTTAATAAAGATATATCATAGCGTATGATAGTCTGTGGAGACCTCCCGCAATAGAAGCTGACATGTTTCAAGTTGATTCCTTAACTTTGTTCATAATTGCTACAAAACGTGTTAAATCTGGCAGAGACTTCATGCAGTTCTAGCAATAATTAAATTACGTGTAAAAATGAGCGACAAGATTTTTTTGCAATGAGATATTACACCTGATAGTATAGTGTAACGTGGGCATTATCAGAGCAGGTGTGTCTATACATTCGCATACACCTGCTCTGCAACTAGTTTCCGAGCAATACAGAAAAATTGCAGCCTCTGCTGCCGTAGCTGATGCCGTAGCTGTCATCAGCTATGAGTAGCGAGGCAATGGTGTCATTGTCATGCTGAAATTGTTTTTGCGTCACTATCGTACAGAGCGCTCGCAGCAGCACATCAACCTGCCCGTAATTAATCCGGGTAAGATTAGCTACTTCGAGCTGAGCGACCCGACTCATTCCATCAAGAACATCGTCGTTAAAGGCAACGAGACGCGTACGTATGGTTTCGATGACAGGTCTTGGTGGTGGCTACTGACTCCCCAGCGCTAACCCGCCCTGTTTACCACTTCGATTTTCAGAGTTAGGTGTAGACAATACGACGGCGGAGCGGAATCTGATGGAGCTGTGGTATTTCTCAGCAACCGACAGGCAGCAAAACCTCCAGCGCCTGCCCATGATCGAACGAACAAATAACCGTAACCACGTTTTTTTTAACGCATGTCACCTCGGCATCACCACATGCACCCACATGTGATTTATGTGCATGGCTTAGTTATAGAATGTGTTCGTGTGTGCTGAATGTTCGATCTGCATGTCATTGTCATGTCTTTGTCATTAAATGTGAAGAGGATGTGCTTAGTAGTGTATATACATTACTACGAACGTTTGTATATTGAATATACACATGATTCGTGATATTACTCGGCACCTGCTCCATGCATTTTGTTCTTTGTTAGATGTGATCAGGATGCACTTAATGATGTATATTACCATTAAAACCATGTATATTTAATATACACATGGTTAATGACATTACTAAGCACATCCGCGACAGTTGTAAGCAATTGTCGAGCGCATTGGAAAAATTGTTTATAACATTTTCTGTTGATGCTTTTATTTTGCGTATGCAGCAATATTTTTCCACGTGTTTCCCTGCAACATAGGTGTATAGCATACGGCATCATATTCTTAGTGTGTAGTCAGTTGATGTGATGAACAATGTCTTAATATGTTCTCTTATTATACAGCATCAATCCATAATGTGGCCAAGGTGGGAGATCCTGGTTCACATTTTGTACATGTGTACATGTGTATATGTTAGGCAGTGTGTAATTTGTCACAAGTCGTTTAGTTAATAAGTAATATTAGTATATTCAAATCATGACTCTGGTACAGCTCTTCATGCTCACTTGTAGTCATGCTTTGCGCCATATTGTAGTAATTACATGTTTTGTACGTTGTTCATCTATGTCCAGTTATAACGAGTAGCGTTGTTATGTTATTCTGTACCTACTTATACAGTTATATGTGAGCTGTGAAAAACCTCGTATTAGCTGTTGCCTGCTAAAGGCAATTTTATGTTTAATTCAGTGTTATAGCTTTTATAGCATAAAGTACTAACACAGCACGTTATACAACTGAATTGCACTTGCTTTTGTTTGAATGTACAGCTATTCTGCACATGTAATAAGCAGCATATAACCATACTGTTGCAGCATTATTTGGAACCTCTGATATATAACACTTGCTATGCGTGGATGTAATTACATTCTTTTACGTGCTATAACCTGTTTACCGTCGTAATTGACGTATCCGTCTAGCGTGATTGACAAAAAGTAGCGAATACATATTGTTCTGAAATCGATGCTAAGTTGAAAGTTGATCGTGTACATGTGCACTGCACACGTAAAAGCCGAGTGAGGCTCACCAACGTAGCAACAGCTAGTAGCCAGTGTGGTGCAGCAGCCATCTTCGCAGGTATCTCGCCCTAGACGGATAAGTCGATTATCGTAAGCGCGCTTTGTGCGAGGCGGCGCGACGCGGTCTAACGTCTGTGAGTCGCGCGCGTCTAACATGCGTGTTGTGTGTGCACCGCGCAGGGGCCGGCATGCACACGGGCGTCACCTTCACGACGGGCCTCGCCTACGACTGGCTGCAGGACCGGCTCTACTACACCGACATCGTTGGCCAGGAGCTGAACGCGATCAGCATCGACGGCACGCGCCACGTGCAGGTGCTCGCCAACCTCAAGTTCCGCGGCGTCGTGCTCGACCCCTGCGAAGGGTAGGTGGCGCCACCGTAGGGCAGGGTAAAAACTGTAATAGAGCGATGAGCGATTCGCTCTTCAAACCTCCGAAATCGCTCCCGTGAGGCTCAAAATAGCTCCCGTAAAAATTTTGCCGAGAGCTGTTTTTAGACTTGAAAGAGAGCTCCTGTGAGGGAAAGGAGAAGGAGAGAGGAGAGGGAAAGGGAATGGGTGAGAGGGAGAGAGGGAGAGAGGAGAGGGAAAGGGAATGGGTGAGAGGGAGAGAGGAGAGGGAAAGGGAAAGGAGATGGAGAAGGAGAGAGGAGAGGGAAAGGAGGAAGAAAGGGAAGGGGTGAGAAGGAGAGAGGAGAGGGAAAGGTGAAGGATAGGGAAGCGGGTGAGAGGGAGACAAGGAGAGAGAAATTATAGACGTGTTAGTCCGATGCCCATGAAATTCAGCGTCTGTGGCACATAGCAACGCCCAGCTTGACCTAGATGTAAATATGCCGCTAAGGACACTGGTTAATGTGGGAGTATGCTGTATGGCTTGTGTTATTGCTTTCAGGTATATGTACTGGTCCGAGTCTTCTGGGCCAAAAAGCAGAATCGTCCGTGGTAGCCTTGGTGGTAGCCATGTTGAGGTGCTTATCAGCAGTGACATCAGGTGGCCTGCTGGCCTGGCAATTGACAGGGAGGATCGCAAACTATATTGGGCTGACTACTTCCTGTAAGTATGCTAGAATAGCCTGTCAGATATAGAATAGTAGGAACAAGAGCTTAACATGTTTTTACATGATGTACTGTAATTTTCATTCTTGGTCTTTCAGATTTAAAGTATTGCTAGTTTTAAGTATCAGCAGTTTTATGGTTAACGAGGTAAAATGTTCATGGTAAGATAGTATGCCTCTTATTGTTTTTTAACAACACTCACTGATTAGCAAGATCTATGCAAAATATAATTAGCATTCAAATTATTATAACATTGCATGTATAACAATTGGCCTAGTTTGTCAGTTTTTATTATTTCAATTTCATAGGGATAAAACATTAATTAGCAAGTAACGTAAGTGGGAAGTTTAACGGCAGATTGTTAGTTACCCGTGCACGTATAATTTTATTGCTTTCTGATTGTTCATTATCTGTTATTTCTAGCAACAAGATTGAGCGACTGGACCTGAATGGAAGTAACAGAGAAATAGTTGTACCTTTAGCTAACAAACCATCACAGGTATGTTGCTATATACAGTGGGAGGTTCGTAATACCCAATTACTATTATCCTATATGTTATGCTATCTCTTCTCCTATTTATGTTCTTTCTGTTGTGGGTTATAATGTTGTCAGCTCAAGTCATTTCCACCGTATAGGTCGCTGTGTACAAGGACTACATATACTGGATGGACCGTGAGAACAATGCTATCTATAGGGCTAACAAGTACACTGGTGCTGACATTGTACCAATTGTGCACGGAGTGGGCAGTGAACAGCCAGGGTTTGATCTGAAGATTTTTGCTCCAGACCTGCAAGTTTGTAAGTCGACAGTGCAAGTGTGCTATACAATTAAATACATGTCAGTCAGACTATGCCATTATAGTGGAAGTACTGCAATACTGCTTTTGTAAGAACAGTTGACTGAAGTATGTCTCTAATGTACTCAGACCAGACTGTTTAAAATGATATTATAACCCCTACTTGGGCTGCCAGGGTCTATGTCTCCCTGGATACTGCCGGAACGTACCCTGGTACTATCTAATATGCCGGACCGTACCTCGCCTACTCCACTAACGAGTCTAGGGAGTCGCCTACGCCTACTCCCTAACCCTAACCTTAACCATACGTTCCGGTATACCGGACCGTACCCAGGGTACGTTCCGGCAATACCCAGGGAGACATAGACCCTATCAGCCCTACTTGGAATAATTGTGAAAACTTGCATGTAATGACATAGTTAAGCTTTTACCTGTTTGTGCTAAATTCCCATAAATATCACACGTTGGTGCACTGCACAAATAAAACCAAACAATAGTGTGTTCTTTCGTGTAACTTCTCTTACCTAAGGGCACCAGAATAAACACAAAAAACTTTTCACTTCTGGATGATAGCTGGTATCCAATAGGTGGGGGTATAGTCAGTGGTGTGATGGTTCTGCTGTATTATTGACAGGTAATGCAACTGGCTGCTCGATTAACAATGGCGGCTGTGTGAACGCCTCCTGCCATGAAGCTCCTAATAACGCCACAATGTGTGCTTGCGAATTTGGCAAAAAACTGGCTAACGAAGGCAAGATGTGTGTGCGTAAGTACAAGCTTGATGATTTCTATTAACATCTGTGCATGCAGGACAAGTATGGGAGTTCCTCCTTGATCATCATTCGTAACACGAATTTTTCTCATGTCAATGGCTGAATTTATAATAGTAAGTGTAACTGAGTTTCTTACATTATTAAACTTCAACGTGTCATCTTTGTAGAGTAATTCAGTCATCATTCGTATGTGTATTGTGCATGGTTTAGTGAATTGGCTTTATGTTTGTACCTACCATAAGATCTTTTTTCACAGCTAACACTGCAGGTTGCCTACCCAACTACTTCACCTGTCTGGATGGTAGCTGTGTGCTGTACCGTTCTGTGTGCGACAACACAACTGACTGCAAAGATAAGAGCGATGAGGATCCAACATTCTGCAGTGCACACACCTGTTCGCCCGACAGCTTTGTCTGTGGCACAGGACGATGCCTACAGCAGAGGTACAGTACTGTACAGCTACCAAGAAGTGCACCATGTGCAATGTTTGTATTTGTATGTGTCACGTTTTCTTACTATTTCCTGCATCATCTACTGCCCCATTTTATTGTACTGCATTATGTTGCATCTCAATGTGTTACGCTGTTTTGCTACGTTTTACTGCTTCACGTTTCTACTCGTTACTTTATATTAACTATACTAACCAGTTTTTGACTTCTATTGCCTTTCACACACATGGGTTTTTTAATCTGTATGTTTCTGCTGCAGATACCGTTGTGACCATGACAACGACTGTGGTGATGGCTCTGATGAGGCCGAGTGTGTGTTCCCCACGTGCGGAATTGATGAATTCCGCTGCGACAACTTCCGATGTGTGGACAGGGCTGCGGTATGTATGATTGTCACACTAGTTTCTCCCTAGCAGGAAAAAAGAATGTATTTGGTAATCAAGTCAGTTTCCGAATGCAAGATGGAGTCCGGTGTGGCACCATTAACTGTCTAGTGCAAATAGTGTACAGCAGCTTCCATAGCTAGCCGGTGACCTCGGCAAGTTATTCCGAATTTAAAGTCTGGCAGTGGGCATTAAATATGGCCACTTTGTAGGCAATGTTAGCTGTGCATGCACCCCTGGGTGCATGTGCGAGTGCCTGTGTGCACGTACGAGTTTCTGTGAATGCGCGTGTTTGAGGGACTGCACACGTTTTGTGTGCGTTTTGTGTGTTCGCGTGTGTGCAGTTTGTGTGCATGTACCCTTGCGCAAATTCCACACGGCAAATTTTCTCATTTGCGTCGATTTGTGCGTCGGCAGGTGTGCGACGGCGTCGACCAATGCCGCGACGGCAAGGCGTCGGACGAGCTGGACTGCCCGCAGCGCGTGTGCCCGCGTGGCCAGGTGCGCTGCAACACGACCAACATCTGCATTCAGCCGTGGTGGCTGTGCGACGGCGACGACGACTGCGGCAACAGGGAGGACGAGAACCCGTTCTGGTGCAAGCAGCAGTCGTGCCCGCCCGAGGAGAACTTCCGCTGCAAGAACACCGGTACGTGTCGGCGAGCGGGATCTGCAGCCGCGGCGGCGGCCACACGCGGGGAGGGGGTGCAGTGCAGTGTTCTATTGGTGTTTTTTTTGCAGCAGTGCTGCGCTCGTGTGGAGAAGTCCATGAGCGCAAAAGTGAAAGTAAGCAAAAGATAAAGTAATGTTGCTTGTTGCCGTACATCTATATCTTACAATGAAGATCTCCTGTGACTACAAATTACTCCTCAATCTACCTATACTACACTACCTATCTAATGTCCACGGATCACTCCATACTCGTCACACCGCCGCGTAACTAGCTACGCCGTGTCCACGGATCACTCCATACTCGTCACACCGCCGCGTAACTAGCTACGTCTTGTTTGCAGATCGCTGCATCCCGTCGTTCTGGGTGTGCGACGGCGATGGTGACTGTGGTGACGGTGACATGGCCGACGAGGATCCGAGCTTCTGCAACACGACGGTGAAGACCTGCTATGGTGACGTGTTCACGTGCGATAACGGCAAATGCGTCGCCAAGGTGTGGCTGTGCGACGGCGACGATGACTGCGGCGACCGATCGGACGAGGATTCTACGAAGCTGGAGTGCGCATGTGAGTTCTTGTCGCTTTTCTTGTCGTTTTTTGTTCTTGTTGTCGTTGTTCTTCTTTTCGTCCTTATTGTTCTTCTTGTTGTTCTTGTTCTCCTTCTTTTTATTTTTATTTATCTTTTTTTGTTGGCATACTTTTTGCCATAACTTTGGTTGTACTTACACCCCTTGCAGAGGACCATCTATATATATAAAGTTGTTCAGCTGAATTAGTTCGTACTTGCATAACTAGAGAACTCCGCAGCCTAGAGAAAAACCAAAGACATTTTCAGAATCAGCACGTCTGGGAGGAAAAATGTAAAAAAGTTAAAAATTCATAAAAATTCTATTCATCAATAGATGGCGGTGCGTACAGATTAACATCACGTACGCGTGAATCCATGAGTATACCCTTAACGGCGCAGTGGCCTAATCGCTAGAACATCCGTCTCCTACACCAGTGTACATCGGGATTCCGGGTTCGAGTCCCAGCTGGGGAACATATTTTTCACTTTTTACTTTTTATTTTTTATATTTAATGTCTATTATCTTTTGATTTCTTATTATTTTTTATTGTTTGGGATGGGATGGGATGGCATGCGATGGCATGGGATGGGATGGCATGGCATGGCCTGGTATGGCATGGCATGGCATGGGATGGCATGAGATGCGATGAGATGGGATGGGATGGGATGGGATGGATGCATGGATGGATGCATGGATAGATAGATAGTTACATTTTTTGGGGTATTTTCCTTTCAACCAAGCGGTCACCAACTGAGTAACGCCACTGATTTCCCCGGGCAATGCCGGGTATCCCGCTAGTTCTTTATAGGGCATTTGATCACCTATGAGGATTTAGGAGTTATGCAAATGTTCGTCCTTTTTTGCAGTAAATTTGTAATAAGAACATCCTCGATAGTATAGTGGTTAGTATCCCATTATTAGTGTCCCCCCCCCGTATTAGTTGTCACGCGGGAGACCGGGGTTCAATTCCTCGTCGGGGAGTAGCGAGTTAATATTTTTATTAGATATTACCGTAGAATTGAAATTAAAATAGCATAATTCGTGATGATGTCGCGGAGATACGCGTAGAAAATTTACTCACATTTTCAAGTTCCTAGTATCTGATAATAATGCAATAATTTTACGGTTGGCGGTGTGTTGTGGGGGCTGCGTGTGGTGATTTTGGGGGTATTGCTAGGAATACAACAATGTTGTTACATAAAAGTGTTGTGAGAGACTGTGGCCATGACCAAGCAAGTTAATAAGTTCAATAATTCTTTGCTTCATGGTGTCTAACATGTAGACTATTTTTAGCTCGCCTTGACATCGTCAAGATGAGCTATTGCCATGGGGCGTCGTCCGTCGTACGTCCGTCTGTTTGTCTGTTCGTCCGTCCGTACGATAACTCATGAACCGTTTGACCCACATGTTTCAAATTGCATGCAGTTGTTACTCCTATGGGAGAGGTTTGAACGTCCTATTTTAGAGCACGCCAGTCGACCTACTTTCGAGCCACGCCCACTTTTTGGCAAAAATGGAAATGGCCATCTAGATTCATTCGATTTTGTTAAATTTACCTACCTACCTACCTACCTACCTACCTAATCATACCTACGTGTAATATTGTGTTTTAGATTCTTCGTTACAGTAATTTGACTGGAATATTTTATTACTTTTATTTGAGCGATAATCGAAAACCATAATGGCGATCATTCAGGCGTAGCGCCATCTCTCGCCAGATTTCAGACTTTCAGATCTGAAACATTTATTTTCGCATCAAAACTAACCCTGAAACAAAACAGTAAAATTTCTATTAGTATAAAACAGGGAATAAGGACATTTGATCACATTTCGGTTCGTCATAAATGAAACACTCACCCAATTTTAAATATCATCTCCCTCTTCTATCACACCCAAGGTGAGCTATAGTGTCATTGACACTTTCATTGTCAAAGCCCTGGAAACTACTGTATACGCCATATTTTTCGTGTATAGATATTTTCGTGAATTCAGACTTCGTGACGCGTTCGCGAAATTCGCGAAAAGTAAACCACCGTGAAATATACAGCGTATACAGTATAACCCAGTGGAATGACATCCGGTAGTACTGGCCCACGCCTCTTGTTTCAATCAGTCTGGTTGATGTATTGGTCAATACCGTGATAGTTAGCATAAATTTTCTCCGTTCGAAGAAAATGCCTGTCTTTCCCGAGCTCCACCTCTCTCATCTTCTCACGTCGTGATCGACCGCATCCTTCTGTTCCAGCTAACTACACGTGTCCTGCGAACACGTTCGAGTGTGCGTCTAACGAGAAGAACACGCGCTACAGCTGCATCCCGCGCACGTGGGTCTGCGACGGCACGCCCGACTGTGCCGAGGGTGAGGACGAGAAGCAGAACTGCCCGCCGCCGCCGAGCTGCCGCGACACGGAGTTCACCTGCACTAACGGCCGCTGCATCAAGCAGTCGTTCATGTGCGACCACGTCAACGACTGTGGGGACGGCAGCGACGAGCCGCGCAACTGCAGTAAGACACAAACAATTAGATATGGGCGTAGATGTAGGGATAGATATTGATGCATACAGACGTAGATATCGATGTGGGTGTAAATATAGGAGATATTGGTATAGATAAAGATACTGTCATAGCTATATATACAGATATAGGTAGCGATAAAAATATCGATGTACAGGTAGATAGATGTAAATACAGACTGTATATCGGAGATTATCACACATCTGCGGGTGCAGCAGTGTTGAGCTTCATTGTTGCAGTAACATTGTCTGCACGTGGCCTGTTGCAAGTTTGCAGAGATGCTATTGTAAGATATGTTGCGTTTTGTGGAAATGTGTGTGTTGCGTCCCTGCATGCAGTACTTAAATTGAGATTGTGAAAAAAACGGACCGGCGTATTTATGTCTCTGATGTACTCTTCACAACGTTAGCGTAAATGGTCTGTAAAGTTGACAACGCAATCTTTGTATGTTTCCTAGTCTTAAGAGCTACACGTTTTTTTCTGTGGTAACTGCATAGCAGGTTTTTTGCGAGAAGTTAAGCTTGTCTTCTCGTGTCTGCAGCTTACAGGAATTGTACAGACGAGGAATTCAAGTGTGATAACGGACGCTGCATGAAGAAGTCTCTCATGTGTGATAAGGTTAATGACTGTGGAGATAACTCGGACGAAACGGACAAGAGTTGCCGTGAGTAATTTCGCCCGTGGATGAATGTTCATAGAGGCACTCCCATTTTACAAGTTTAGTTAATCTCCCCGTGCAATGTGAAGCATCATGACAATGTTACACCTGGTTTTTTTGATTGTCTGTAAAGCGAGAAAAATGCAGAATCTTCAGGTAGATCTTCTCAATTACTACACGACAGCTGTAATAAAATGGGGTTGATAAATGACAATATTAGTTTCTCTTATGTTTAGTCTCTCCTCCATGTTTACTGATATGAACAACAATGGTCTCAAGTGTAGGTATAATAAAGTTGAACAGTTGACAGCTTCATAAAATGTACTAGTATTACTGTTTTCTTCTGATCATGAGATCTGAAAAATTCATTAATATTCAGTCTGCAACTTAACACCAGACTCATCAGATACCTTTTTCAAAAATATTTCCTGCTAATCATGAGGTATGTCATGATCAACAGTTGTATCGTTCTAGCTGAGTAACACATGTATTTAAGTATACTTGGTCTGCATTGTATGGCCACTTCCCGAATGGCACAAAAATGTCTGCCGTGAATTCACACAGTGTGTGAAAATTGTAATCAAGGATAGTACAAAGATGACTGCTGTGCAAAACCATTATGTTACCATTGCAGTCGAGGAGAAGGTGACTTGTCCAGCAAGTTCTACACCGCAGTTCCAGTGCAACAACGGGCAGTGCATCAAGTACGAGCTAGTCTGCAATGGGCAGCTTGATTGTAATGACAGCTCAGATGAGCCGCCACACTGCGGCGTGAACGAGTGCGCCGTGGTGCAGATGAACCAGTGCGAGCACACATGCGTCAACACTCTCACCAGCTTCTATTGCAAGTGCAACCCTGGCTACACCCTCATGCAGGACGGCAAGGCTTGCAAAGGTCAGGGCACTGGAGGTTTCCGTAGTTTGCTTTGTCATTTGCCTGGATATTTTTGTTGTGGAGTTTCGACTCTGCAATTCACAAGTTAAATTCAGAATCTTTTCATAATTTTTTTCATAATTCAGAATCTTTAATATAATGGAGATGGTCATAACATTGTAGAATATCCAATGGGCTTATGTTATACTCAGTGTTATGTGGTGTACGTGCAGCCGTATGCAGTTCTAATTCTAATGCAAGGAAACTTAAGGTAAATGGAAGAAAATTAAGATAAATTAAGAAAAGAAGAAATGTTAAAAAGAAATTGTTAGTGTTTCCTGTAAGTTCAGAATAACAACCGATTTTGAATAAGTGCCAATGACGAAAAAAAGTACTGCGTATCTGATCATGCCATAGTTATTCATTTTTATTCCTTATAGACATGAACGAGTGCATGGATACGCCCGGCGTGTGCTCTCAGATCTGTGTCAACACTCCCGGCTCTTACAACTGCAAGTGTGATGTAAATAATGGCTACGCCGAACAGGGAGATGGACGCTCGTGCAAGAAGTCTGATAGTAAGTCGACGCATCCTGCTGGTCTTAATATTTTGAATGTCACATAACATGGCGTGTGTAGGCAATAGCATATACGTGATGATTATTCCAGAACGTTGCCAAATACGTTATATTTGGGAGGTTGATACATTGGGACTCGCAGGCCTTCATGATGACTGTGGACGGTTAGAATGTGAAATCCTGAGCAAGAGAAAACTGCTAGGTTGTTTCATGATTACTGTGGTCTTGAGATGCTGTAATACCCTGTTATCAGTAGCTGTGATTCAGAATCAGTACACGTCAGATTGTCAAAGCTGATGTCTGTGAAACGTGCTGAATATAGTGTTGACACGTTGTTCCATTTCTGCTCAGATATAACGCCATGGATACTGTTCACCAACCGCTACTACATGCGAAACATGTCCTTGGATGGTATGTACTACTCGATCGTAAAGGACGGATACAAGAACCTTGTCGCGCTCGACTTTGACTGGCAGGAACAGAAGATTTACTTTAGCGATGTGTCGATGCGTAAAATACAGCGTATGAACTTCAACGGCTCAGGTAAGCTTACGTTGTCTCAGAGGCATGCACGCTTCCAAACATGTGTTACTGTGTGTTAGGTTTGGACATTAACGACTGTCTGACTGCTGTGCATGTGTGACTGTATGTCGTATGTGTTTTAACCATGCTCACGTGGACTTTCAACGTTAGAATTGGGATGTTTTTTGCTCTATAAGAACCGTTTACATGTGCGATATACTTGTAGATCATCAGTGTATGTATTGTGGACATGTGACAAGTAGCTGTACAGTGTAGAGCTGCTGGATGCGGCTTGCTAGCTGTAATGTCATCAATCTCCTTACTGTAGAGTACTGTTTTGAGTTGGTGTATGGCTGCGTTGGCTACTCACAAATGCGAGAACTCGGTGAATACAGCCGGCACATGCGGGCGATTCTCGGTATCAATAACGTCACATGATGGTTAGGTGACGGGGAACCTCTCGCATGCACCCGGCATGAGTGCTTTGATGCTGACCAAGTGTCAAGCGTGTGACGGGAGCTAATGTTTTTATGACAACACTGTATCCCACGTATAGGCGTCGAGGATGTAGTGGATGAATCGCTCTGGTCGTTGGTGAGGCCAGCTCTGGGGAGCCACAAGCATACGCTCGGCAAATATTCTGGTACTTCGGTCATCAGGGTTTAGGGCTCGGGTGTTGATTTCGTTGGCTGCTTCATCGGTTCAGATGGGAAGCTGCACGGTTGAGTTTTGAGTTGTTTTTTTCACGTCAGTGAAATGGCGATCCTGTGCCTAGATCAGATGTCTCATCTGTTCTAAGCGGATGCAATCTTGTACTCAGAGACAGACAATGCATGCTCGTGTCTATCTGTTCTGAGTGATCAGATGGCTTCATTTCACAGTTTCATGTGCAGTTTTCTGCTCTCTATGTATTTATTGCTTGTATCCAGCATTCAATATGTACACACGTAGCAGAAATATTTCAGGCAATCAGACTATTCTACACTCTGTGGGGCTTACCATCATTAGCTTGTAATTGTCCATCTTTCTAAAAGTTAATTGTATGAATCGAAATTGAAATGTGAATATACACAGGTTCATGATAATGGTCCCCATAGGTGCAATTCATTGTGGTTGAATTTGTCCCTTTAACCAAAGCCATTCGAAAGTAAAATTTTATGCTGTTTTCCCCTCAACCACAGAGTAAGTAGCTATGGTTACACACATGCACGCAGATAGTAAATGTGTCGTTTTTATAATGTGCTGAACTGATTGGTTATTGCAATATTTCTGTACATGCAGTGTATAATATTAACATTGGCATTAACATTGACCCTGAAGTTAAGTCTTACAGCTATTCTCACCAGAACCCGGGTTTGCAAGGTCATGAGTAGCTAGCTCTGATGCATCTCTGGCTTTTTCCAGTCAAGAGAAGAAATTTGGAATACCACAGGAAGAGGCACATGCATTGCTTTTGGTGTGCATGTCCTCTTAGCATAATCACGTATAACATAACGACGCATAATCCTTGATGATGAATTTTTTGCACCCTTTTTTGCTACCCTTCTTACACAGCATAGCACGCCCAGCTACATTACTAATTACGGTCATTAATTACACCATATTTGAGTTGGTTCATGGTGCGTTTGTAGAATGATTTGTCATTATTACAGACACAACCTACCAACACGAATATTTATGCTATAGCCATAATAACCGTAATTTGTACTGTAGCATCGGTACGTTATTAAGTTTACTGGCACACCTACACATCTTCATATCATTTTGTGCATAATTGTGATTAGTATTGTGAACAAATTCTGGTTTATAACTATCATCTACTTTTAATGGTCACTGTTGGAAATATTCCGATAATCAGTAATAGTGTGTACCATTACTTTATTATAATGTATAATGTACTGCATTAAATTAAGGGCAAGCATAGACCTACTGTCAAGTGCACCTGTCTAGGTGACACGTCATTCCAAAGCACTACATAGGTGCTTAAATCAAAAATCGTATTATTTATGCTCTCGACGTTCTTCACAAGTATCTCGCTTCACAAGTCATCTAAGAAAGCTTGCACCTGAAGCGAAGTGACGTAAAACCAGCCCATGAGTGCAATGTTGCAACCATATTGTGTGCAGGTGTTGAGGAGCTGGTCACAGACAACATACGAGCGCTCGAGGGACTAGCTGTCGACTGGGTCGGCCGCAAGATGTACTGGCTCGACCGGCGTCAGCGCACGATGAACGTCGCCGAGTTGAACGGTACCAGCCGCTGGACTCTGATACAGCACCAGATGGAAGAGCCGCGTGCTGTCTCCGTCTTCCCACAGATCGGGTATGTAGCGTGCCTGTCGACGTTTGATGATCTCTTTGGTTTTTGTTCAAGATCTTGGTTTCGCACGTAGATGGGGGGTAATAAGTCAGGTGGGTAGGCATGATTTTCAGTGATTGGTTCAGTATTGAAAGCAAGCAGTTTTCTAATGCTTCATCGATAATGTAAATTGGTGTAATGTCCGTGATAATAGTGTCAAAAATCGTGATAGATGGTGTAGATTTGGTCGAAAGTGTGCTTTAGCACCTTTTTGCAGTCATGACCATGTCATGTGGTCAAAATCGTTACATTTCTGCCTAAATGCTGTATAAGCTGTGAGAAAAGGCAAGGTTCTGGTCCAGCCAAACATGCAGCTTGTAATCTTCCAGGAAACTTGCATTGTAGGGTTATACTCTCGGTCTTCCAATCGGCCAAGACGTCATGATTTTGTGCCAAGTGTTATTCATACAGTCGTAGGGTCTGACTATGTTGATGGTTTCTTTCAGATATATCTACTGGACAGACTGGGGACTAATTCCCTACGTTGGTCGGATCGGTATGGATGGAACAAATCGATCAAGGGTTATTACTGACAAGATGTGTAAGTGCTAGCCAATCGAAATTCTCAAGCATAATCTACACAAGTACTGCATGAGTAGTGTATAAAGAACGATGAGAACGTTATTATATAGCATGGTGTATTACCTGGCATGTGTTGTTTATGGGCTGTGAGTTGCCTGCATAGTAATATGTGCTAGCCATGTCTTTAATTTCCCAAGTGAAAATGGATCCTTCATAAGTCATGTAATGCTAGCCGCACACTATACGACCCGAGCGCGATCGGGAGGCTTACTTCTGGATCGGAAGGCTTAAGTTTGGCTCGGGAGGTCATTTTGGGCTGATTCGAATTTTGAATCTGGAGCGGAGCGGGTCGTATAGTGTGCGAGGGCTTACGACGCGACTCGGATAGTGTGCGTGGCCATCCGACCCGCCGCCGAGCGCTGAAGAAAATTGACCAATCGCAGAGCAGCGCCATGGGAACCGCATTCGGTAAAAATGGCGGGAAAACACTCCTGACCCTTAGTACACGCTAAATCCGCTTGGAACGCCACGAGAGTACCATGGTTAGCGCCGACTTTTGAGTCGTACAGTGTGGGGGGGGGGGCCTCCCGATCGATCGGGAGCGGGTCGTATAGGGTGCGAGGGCTTACGACTGCGGCCCGCGCAAAATCGTATAGCATTAGGCTAGCATTAGAATCATATCAAAGGAGGAAGCTAAGAAGCTTTGAGCATAAGTTAGTGTTAGACTATTATCATCTTCTTACAGTGTTTGCATTTACAGTGACCTTCCCCAAATATATTTCTTGTAACAGGACATGCAGATCCTAGCTATTTCTGTTGCAGTATATTGCTCTCAATATGCAATGATTCCTTCACATATTGCATCTGTGACAGAGCTCGCAGACACTAAATAGCAATCACTGTAATAAAGTTCTGCTTTCCACTTGCAGCATGGCCAAACGGGCTAACTATTGAGTATGTGACACAGCGCTTGTTCTGGACTGATGCGCATTTGGATAGGATAGAATTCGCAAACCTTGATGGTACCAACCGACACGTGATCACTGACAGTGGACTAGCTCACCCATTCGCTCTCACCATATTTGAGGTGAGATCGAGTTACCAAGATTCATAATTCATGAGTTACTACAGCTCTTATACTGGCCGCATATCCTTTATCCACCAGCAGACACTCTCGCTTTGGTCATATATAGCTAGTCCTGTATATCAGTCTCACTGCACTGGTCGAGTAGCTAAAACTTAACATTGTGGCAATATCAATTATGATGCATATCAATGATGTGTTAACTGTGCAGTTTATAATGCTGTCAGTACCTTGCATGACTGCCAACAAATTGGTAGTACACGTCTTAGCTAAAACTTGCTGTCTTTATATTGGAATGCCATCCATATAAGCATTGGCATTTTATGTTCGTATAGGACTGGATCTACTGGACCGACTGGAACACGCTTGGATTGTACAGGGCTCACAAACTTACGGGAGAAAACAGACAAGTTTTGGCCAATGTCACCCATCGACCCATGGATGTGAAAATTATACACCCTCTGCGTCAGCCCATGAGTATGTGTCACTGATTCTCAGATGCTCACACTGTGGTTCATGCACTGTGAGATGAGGGTGCTCATTATTTAATTGACACATAGTTTTAGTACATGAGATTTCCTGCTACGATCCAATGTGATGTTTTGTGTCTTCATTCACGTAGGCAAGAACCCCTGTGGATCGAACAATGGCCGTTGCTCGCACCTGTGTTTGATTGCGCCGGGCGGGGAGAGCTACACCTGCGCCTGTCCTAATCATTTCATCCTACAGTCGGACAATATGACTTGTACAGCCAACTGCCCTGTGAGTAGAAATTGACTGGGGATGGTCGAAATACCGTGGCTATTTTGTCTCTTCTCTGTCAGTTCCCCTCGGTGTCTAGACTTGTGCATCACGATCTCTTATGTGGCCCCCACATGTGTACCCCTTTTTGAGGCATTTAGATGTGCTGTAGACAAAATCAAGGGCTAAATCAACAGATTATGAATCAGTAAAGCACTAGTGATAAGTCATGCGATATATGGCCACTTCTTGGAGCAAGGTATAAATGAGATATATAGAGAATATTTACTTTGATAGACATATTGAATGATGTAACATGAGCTGGTTTGTTTCTCACCACAGTAGCTGAGGGAATAGGTACATGTCCCATGTTTAATGTTTGCTTTTAACACTAGATTGGTCCATCACCATTGTCAGATTGCCATCTATTATGAATTAGAACCATTACTCATTGCTCACCTTAACGTATCGTCCATTCGCAGGCTGGGCAGTTCCAGTGCGGCCGCAGTGATGACCGGTGTCTTCCATACCGGCTCAAGTGTGACGGCGTACCGGATTGTAAGGACGGCTCCGACGAACCACCAGAGTGCCGTACGTTTGCATTTGCCCACAGTCGCGAGTATTTGTCGTGAATATGATACCCACAGCACACGTCATATCCAAATGATGTGATGTTTTTAGAGCAGTGTAGTGATAAATATGTCTGGTTTTAATTTGCAATGTAAGTGACCATCAATGAAGCTTTTAATACTAGTAGGAACATAACATTGATGACTTTTGTCCAAGTGATTAGGACACTGAAATAATAGATTAATATTTCATAAGCAGAACATGCACATTCTGCATTTGTGTTTATGTTCTACCCCATTTAGCGCACTAAACATTAAAATTATCGTGTATATTTTTCCAATTCAAATTTAGTCTGCTGTAATTGTAGTTAAGGAGAGTGTACCTATATCTAGTGTTGTGAATACCTTATTAGATAGAAGTTGTAATTAACTGCATCTGTTATGCTTTCCAGCACCACGCAGCTGTCCCAAAGGTGAATTCCAGTGCAGAAATGACAACTGCACAAAAGCTTATGCCCTGTGTGACGGCGATGATGACTGCGGTGATAACAGTGATGAACAGGACTGTGGTACGCGCCCATGTCTTGCCTTTCTTGCTCATGTTTTTTTTTGTTTCTTCTCTCGTCACAGTTAAGGGAATCGAATTCAATGTGCTTTTTGTAGATATTGATTATGTTATGAGGCCAATATTTGTATTATTGGGTTTTTGATATTCCATATTCTAATAGTATTGTATCTTTGTGTTCTGGAAAATAGAAAAAATTGTCCTTTTAAGTCCTGGGAATGTCCATAAAAATGTCTTGGGGAAAAATTGCCTTTGGTGTACAAACCACACCATAGATTCATTCATTGACCAGAGTGATCCAGATGATGTAATGACTGCTAACATTATTATTCCTAGACGATAGACCTTGTGAGCCGTGGCAATTCAAGTGTACAGATAGTGGACGGTGCATACCAAAAGCCTGGCTGTGTGACATTGATAAGGACTGCAAAGATGGTTCTGATGAAACGGATGCTGTATGCAGTAAGTATATTCTTATAGTAAATATATCAACTATGGTGTACATCCATGTCGTCAGTGTTATCATTGCTGCTAGCTTTCTTGGTTTTTCTCACATATGGGGCCACAGAATCAATATTAGTCATACTATTTTTATTATATGTATATGTGTGGTAATGTCATTTGGTTGAATATGGCAGGGCCTAATCTCCCATCCTCAAAAGTTGACATTATTCGATATTATTATTTAAAGGAAAATGAATTGTTTTAATGACCCTCTGTACGTGTTCATTTGCAGAAAATAGAACTTGCGACACGGACGAGTTCAGCTGCAAGAATGGCCGCTGCATACCAGAGTCGTGGAAATGTGACTATGACAACGACTGTGGCGATGACAGCGATGAGCCATACAATGAGTGCAGTAAGTGTTAGCAGCATGCTGTGGCATCATGTTAGATTAATTAGATGAGTTTTTGTTTAAATATACGCACATCTATAGATGAAATATACACATGCATGCACATGTGGCGCCATGTATGCACGTCATGCAGACTTAGGGAAATCTGTCAACACGGTTGCATACATAACCGATTGTCGTAATGCATTATTCGGGTAGGTTTTGCTAAATTGAACGTGTTTTTGCTAAATTGAACAGAAACTGATGATACGTGTGAATGTAATCAGAAATCGAGCTCTTTGAATGACCTTTGAATGACCTTCGAACCTTTGTGTAATGTTCATCGCTGTTGTGTATTGGATGACATTTCACATTAAACTGTCATTACACCTATGCTAAAACCATGCAGCACTTTTCAGCATGATAAACTCTCGATCTTATGTATTTATTTCGAATTTGGCTATCGAGTGTATTCCATATCTGATCTTTCATCTGACTGACCGTGTGCAATTTCCCCTACTCGTGGATGGCACTATAATAGTCACAAATGATATAATGCCGGCAAGGTGACCCATTTATGACACAATTTACCAAATTACTGTACACAAGGGTACGAAAGTTCATGCTATTGCACGGGGCCTTTGCCGTAAAAGCTGCGTCTAACTGTGATGCTTGCTCCGCCAGGGAACAAGGCGTGTCCGGCCGGCTGGCAGCGCTGCACGGGGGGCAACTCGTGGCGCTGCATCCCACGCTGGCAGTTCTGCGACGGCAACGACGACTGCCATGACAACACGGACGAGAACGTGGCGACGTGCCCTACGTGCGACGCAGACGGCGACTTCCGCTGCGGCAATGGCCGCTGTGTGCCGAAACGCTGGGTGTGCGACTTTGAGAGTGACTGCAAAGATGGCTCCGACGAAGAGGAGACCATGTGCCGTACGTTACCGTACTGTGCCCGTAGTGCATGTGCACACATGCATTTATATATTTATGTTTATATTGTATGTAGTGCATTTAGTGTAGTATATGTTATATATGTGGAATATGTGGTACATGTGGTATATGGTGGTTTGTAGTATTGAAGGTCTGATGCAACAGAAGTGATGGAAAGTGACAGGCGTATGTGCGAGTGTGTGTGTGCGTGGGTGCGTGCGTCCGTTCATGTTTAAATGTGCATTACGCAAGTGTGTATCTGCATGTGTTTGTATGTAGCCCCGTGTCACACACCAACCATGGTGCGTACTCTTATCTTTTATACATAATTGCAGAGAACAATTTCCGCCAATGTTCGGAGTCAGAGTTCCGTTGTGACAACAACAAGTGCATTAATGGCAGATGGCGCTGCGATCACGACAATGACTGTTCCGACAAAAGTGATGAGAAAGATTGCTTGTACTACAAATGCAAATTTTCCGACCAATTCCAGTGTGCCAGGTATTGTATTCTATGCTTAGGATATCTGCCATCAAGACTTGTATTGTACTGTGGTCTACTGTATTGTTACACGTGAAAATCTTGGTGGACAATGCTGGCTTCCAAGCTAAGTCATTACTCTTCTTTCTTTAGTAATGTTTTATTAAAATTGATGACTGTGTACAATCTCATGTCACAGATCTCATGTCAGAGATGTATACAGACACACGCATACAGATATGAATTCATCCCCCTTTTCCTCACACACTGATGCATATTGCATGTGTTGCAGTGGTCACTGTGTTGCGAATACAACACGCTGCGATGGCAAGAAGAACTGCCATGACCTGTCGGATGAGAAGGACTGTCCACCCCGCTTCCCAGGCGGCCGTTACTGTCGGCCAGAGAAGTTCCAGTGCGACAACACTGTACGTGGTCAAGAATACTGAAGTCTGTCCGGGAGACAAATGTTTTCAATAATTTAACGCGCCTGCTTGGCAATTGATACTTCTCGATTCTTCTCGATTGTGTTAATTTTGAACAGTATTGATGTTTTCCAAATGGATTTTCATCACTCCTTAATAACCTGATAGATTCTAAGAAAGAAAGATATATTGCAGCACGGAGATATCATGGCTACATGTGAAAACTGTAGTGTGATCCTTTATGATAAGGTTACTTGTTTGTTTTCTGGACAGCTCTGTGTGGACATGTCAGCCAGATGTGATGGCATGGACGATTGTGGAGATAGGTCTGATGAAAAACTGGAGCAATGTTGTAAGTTTTTATGCTGAAACGATGCAGTAAAATATTCCAACTCGCATGTAGGGTGCTGCAAAATCATTTCGGCAATTGCGTTGGGGAATCTTTTGCATTTATTTCTTTTGAACTGGCTAGACAAGAATTAACAATGTAGATGCAATGAATAGACGTCTAATAATGGTAATAATTTACAAGCTTAATTACTACAGTCACTCTGAATCATTGCAGTCGTTGGAATAACAATAAGGAAGTAATAGCATCTCTATAGCTAGGTGATATGCTCTCCAGCGTGAGATACATAGTAGATTACATAGCTTGTGCTTCATGGAAACCCATTTTTGCACAGGTCCATTGTCTATTGTTGTTACAAAACATGGTTTATCGAATTACCTCGAATGGTTTCTACAGATCAAATCGATTGTCCAAGTGAGACGAAGTTCCGCTGTAAGAATGAGGTTTGCATACCGAAGTATCGGCTGTGTGATGGTGTAGACAACTGTGGGGATGGCTCAGATGAGAACAACTACACCGTGTGCAAGCCTAAGCCACTTAATTGCACCGTCAAGGAGTTCAGGTGAGGTCACGTGTATGTCACAATGGTTTTTGAATGTGGACGGTAGGAAGAATGTGCATTTTAGCTTGGACATAATGTTCTATTAATGCATACTATTGGGATTACGAGTTGACATAGAAAGAAATGGCTGTATCCATTGTCTAAAGTCGAACTACACTCTTTTTCATTGTTGAATTGCATTATTGCAGGTGTGCCAATCAGAAGTGTGTGCCAGCCAGTGCTCTGTGTGACGAGTATGATGACTGTGGCGATAGATCTGATGAACTTAGCTGCCGTGAGTAATATCCTACTCCCCATTTCACCCATACAATCCCTTTCCTTACCCCATCAACACATGTCCCCTACTTTTACCTACACACTGCCCCTTATCTTCATACACGTTTCACCACAGTTATCCAAAATCAATACCATGTATATGTATATATATATATGTATAATATATAATATCTATGTGCGCTTTAAAGGTTTATATAGAAGTACTAAGTACTTGAAGTAATAATTAGAATGAGATTATTACTGTTAAGAATGTTCTTCATTGTTTTTTTTACCATTTTAGGATTAAAGCTAAAATTGTAATAGTCATTTCTGTCAATGAAATCTCATCAATAAGATGTGGATATAATAAAAGATATATTCATTCCTGAATAGTAACGCCTTTCAGGCTGTGCGCAGTTCAATATCATAGTCCTCACACTGCAGGTTTTGATATACAGAAAAATCACCGTCTCGAGATACTGTATTTATTATTTATTACTGGTGCAACTGCATTTACAGACAAGGCTGGCACGGGCTGCGGTGCAAACAACGGAGGCTGCTCGCAAATGTGCACACCGACGACAAACGGCCACCTATGCAGCTGTAACTCTGGCTTCGCCGTGTCGCCAAAGGAAAAAACCAGCTGCCTCGACGTCGATGAGTGTGCGACTTTTGGCCACAACTGCTCGCAGCTCTGTGTCAACGTGAAGGGATCGTACGGCTGCGAGTGTCTGCCAGGATTCGACGACGTCATGTCGTCTGGGCGAAAGGGTATGATAATCTGTTGCGATTTCGGCTGCCTAGACTTGTGTAGGTAGAGTATTAGCATGGATTTACACACTAGTAGCAATGTAGGTCAGGATTATATGCTAGTAGCATGCTAAGTTATGATTGCGTGACAGAGGAGTAGTAGGTTGGGATCCCATACTAGCAAAATTGTAGGTTATATTAGGATTGCACAAGGTTAACAAGGTTAATGCAATTGCTGATAAACAGAATTTAGTGATGTAAAGGAATCGTATATAACTATGTCAGTGAAATAACAAATCATCATACTGTGGCATCATACATGACAACAATGTTATCACTGTCATGACTTTACATATGTGATCACATCTACGTCGCCGTCGTAACAATACATACAGTCAAAACGTGATGGCATTACGTCGTCAGTTATCATAAACCCTCTCACTGCAACGCTATCACCGTCATGACTCCTGTCTCGCCACTGCAGGCATGAACTGCCGCGCGTTGGGCAAGCCGGCCGTCATCCTGTTCTCGAACGGGCCGGAGATTCGCAGCTACAAGCTCGTCGACAAGGCGCAGCTCGAGTACGGCGACCTGATTGCCAACCAGAAGCTCATCCAGGCGATCGACTACGACCCGAAGCGCAACCTGCTGTACTGGGCCGACGGCGAGCGCAAGAAGCTGGTGCGCGCGAGCATGGTCGGTCCGAACGACGTCGGGCAGCCGCAGCAGCTGCTCGACGCGCAGAATCCCGAGGGCATCGCTGTCGACTGGATCGGCAGGTAGGGTGGCGCACTCTGGCGGGCGGTTTGGAGAGAGACGAGCGGTGACTGGGTCGGCAGGTAGGGTGGCGCAATCTGGCGGTTTGGAGAGACACGAGCGGTGGCAGTTGCGCTGCTCCCGCTTGCCTCGCCGCAGGTCTCTGCGCTTGATGTTCGCGTGAGCTGTGGCTGTGAAGTGTGAGTTGCTGCGATTGAATGGGTGCACACGTCATGACAGGTTACGGTGGCACCGTCAGTTTTGTATAGTGGCGACTCTGGAGCTCTGAGTAATTGCTAAAGATGGCCATGCAGTTTGAGTGTAATTATATAACTCATTGCAGTACTAAGAGTTTGAATGTGTGGTGGAAATTAACAACTCACTGGCAGGCCACTGGCTTTTGAAAAGAAACGAATGGTGTTAGGTCACTTGAGAGAAGGTTTTCAACAGGTGTATGCAATATTGTGTTTGATGAGAGGCATATATTGATATATATTGATATATTGGCATATATTAAGTTGATATTTAGGGAAAACAGAGCATTTCATTTGTAACTTCATTTTTCGTCTACTCTACCTTGGTCCCAGTGTCTAGATTGGTGGGTTAGTGACGTGATATGATTTATGAAGGTAGTCACTGTCCATGAACTGCAAACCTGACTGTGACTGGTCAGCATATAGTCAGTATAAACGGTATAAATGCATAACCTTGTCGTGCAGGAATCTCTATTTCACTGACGGTGGTCGAAGACGAATTTCTGTTTCCACTTTGGACGGACGTTATCCCAAAACGATCGTGGAGGATAACTTGCAGCAACCTGGAGATGTTGCAGTGAATCCAGAACTTGGGTATGTATATTAGATTTTTTTTTTCAAATGTTAGCAGCAACTTTTAATTAAACTCCTTACAGACATACTCAATTGACAATGAAGGTTGGATATATGCTTTAAGAATTTATTTGATTCACTTCAATTTTTTCTCTATAATCTATTGTTCCCACCCTGTAGGCTGCCATGTTAATGAATCAACATGGTATCTATACACGTGAAAAAACTAGATGTAAGAAGATAACTGAACCATTGTGAGGAAAACAGCAATGTTGTAGCGTGGTCGGTGAGAAACAACACACAACATGGCCGTATTAACTAGCCTCCACCTAAACATGACACTTGAAACTCACGGTTGAGCAAAGCAAGGGAAACATGGCAGCTGCCTCTGGAACCTCAGTCACCGCATGAGGTCAACTGAAGAGGGTGCCAATATCTACTTGTCATGTGTTCCTGTAAGTATATTACAATCATAACTGGACATTCTCTTGCAGCATGCTCTACTGGACGGACTACGGCTCCACGCCTAAGATAGAGTCGGCGTACATGAACGGAGAACACCGCAAGGTGCTGGTCAAGACGGGCCTGAGCAAGCCTACCGGTCTCGCTATTGATTATTCGGCAAATCACCGCGTGTACTGGTGCGATCACAAGCAGGAACTCATCGAGTCGATGAATGCGGATGGCTCCGACAGACTTGTTATCCTCAGGAAAGGTATGCAACGATGAGTGCTCACGCAGTCTCTGTGTGCATGTATGCATGTATGCGTGTTTACGTGTGTGTGTGTGTGTTGGGGGGGGGGTGGATCCACTGTGTTGTGTGTGTACTGCTGCGATCACAATCAGGAACTCATCTAGTCAATGAATGCTGATGGCTCGGACAGACTCGTTATCCTCAGAATGTTCTCAAGTATGTAATGATAAGGATTCAGTCTGTCTCTGTGGGTATGTGCACATGTATGAGTGCTTATATTACCTGTGTGTGTGTGGGGGGGGGGGTATTTGTGCGGCCGCTGTTTGGTGCATGTGCGTGTGCATGCGTACATTTGTGCATGTATGTCTGTGTCTGTGTGAGAATGTGTGTTTGTGGATGCATTCACGTGTGAAATTAAAATACATACAGCTGCTGTCGTGTGTTATACCTTAGTTCAGATGAACACTTGTGCATTTATGCAGTGACAATAGATCATCTTTACCAACTTGAGAATTTCATGTGCAATTTTCATTTCTTCCAGATTTAAATAAGCCGTACAGACTGGACGTGTTTGAAAATTGGCTGTATTGGGTCTCTCATGATACCGGTGCTGTGTACATGCAAGACAAGTTTGGTCGTGGAGTCAAGGTCACAGTACAAGATGGTATGTAATGCAGAAATTCAATGACACTGGGTAATATAATAGCTAGGGTGCTACATTTAGGTATGACGTTGTTGTCATTTCTCTAATGAACCATTTTTTAACGATTAAAAGTAAATCAATTCCATACGGTCATGACACTGGGTTTGAATTGAGTTGTTCTATATCTGCAGCAAAATGCAATAACCTATAAATCGTTGTTACACATAGTAAGCTATGATAGTTCTTTAACAAGTATTATATATATATATATATATATATATAATGTGCAATATACGAACAATTACACACCAATTATTGTTATGCGCCAGCGATTGTGTCTGGCTATAAGATGCACTACAAGATATGCACACGCATTGCATTGCAGGATTGAACACCGTGACGGACATCAAGATCTTCCAGATACATCGCTACAACCAGACGATACAGTCTCGCTGTCCGGAGAACTTCTGCTCACACCTGTGTGTGCTCATCCCTGGTGGATACAACTGCATGTGTCCCGATGGCTCCAACTTCATTCCGGGAAGTAGGGAAACGTGTGATACCGGTAAGCAAGCAGAAGGCACATTCAGGTTATTAAGCCAGAAGGAGCAACACTTCCTTGTCTCGGGGCATGGGGGGAGGATCTCAAATAGAATATACAGTCAACAGGTCAAAGGGGCATTTATGTCAGTTCATATCGGTCAGGAGTAGATAATAGGGAAGGAGTGTGACATCAATAAACAAGGGAAATTCGTCATTTACTAGCCTTATAATACCTACGATTTACTACGCGTAACTCATCCAACTTGAGCTCAAATCGGACACAGTACATCTGCCTACCATCGTGCGAAATCCTTTCCTCATATACACCCGCAATCCGGAGATACAGACTAAAACGTACGACACGATTTTCAATTCTTTGGCCATCAATCCAAATGCACTGCCCGCCTCATATTCAAACAAAAGGCAGCTACTAACCACACTGTCCACGGCTTGCGCTCACGGCGAGGCGCTGTGGCTCGCAGGGAGATTTGAATCCGATCTGCTGCTGATAGCGGATTGGCGTGCGTGCGTGGTATGGGGGCATGCCAGCTGTATTGCCGGCATGCCGGTATGACATACAGGCATACATTGTAGCTGTGTACCGGGTCAAAGGTTATCTTGCCGAGTGTTGCGTTGATGCCTAATCACCCTGCGAGCCACAGCGCCTCGCCGTGAGCGCAAGCCGTGGACAGTGTGGTTAGTAGCTGCCTTTTGTTTGAATATGAGGCGGGCAGTGCATTTGGATTGATGGCCAAAGAATTGAAAATCGTGTCGTACGTTTTAGTCTGTATCTCCGGATTGCGGGTGTATACGAGGAAAGGATTTCGCACGATGGTAGGCGGATGTACTGTGTCCGATTTGAGCTCAAGTTGGATGAGTTACGCATAGTAAATCGTAGGTATTATAAGGCTAGTAAATGACGAATTTCCCTTGTTTATTGATGTCACACTCCTTCCCTATTATCTACTCCTGATATCGGTCCAAGTCCCAAATTTTGAGTTGTAGTTTGATTGATGCGTACTTCGCACTGTCTGTCATGTCTTTATATATTTTTCTTTAGCATAATTATGCTGTTTACTGCATGATACCGGTAAGCAAGCAGAAGGCACATGCAGGTTATTAAGCCGGAAGGAGCGGTACTTCCTTGTCTCGGGAGGCGGTTCACAAATGTAATATACAGTCAATTAAGGGGTGTCCTACATTTCGTCCACATTTAGCATCCTTATAAGGGATGCTAATTGTGTCATTTATAGTCAGGTGCCGCGTTCTATAGAGGTGGTCGTGATCTGTCACTCGAGGGAAACGCTAAGTGTCATTTATAGACAGGTGTCTGTTCAATAGAGGTGACCGCTAAAATAGGTGTGACTGTACAAGTAAAACGTAGCTTATGCCATATCTTATAGACTGCATTTTGTGAGTAGTTTTTGCTATCCTTTGGTATTTGATTAGATTTCCAGGAGCCGATACCAGCACCGCGCATATGCACGTGTGAGAACGGGGGAACATGTTACTCTGCGCATGATGGTTCAGTACTCTGCAGATGTCCATTAGACTTCACCGGCGACCGTTGCGAACTAATACAGCCGAAGAGTAGTCATGTACAATCTGGCGCCAAAAACAGTGGAAGTAAGTCGGCACAGTCATGGATGAGTGATAATTTTTCTGGTTAACAGGTATTGGACTGTTTATAAATGTTGATATGCTACAGTAATGAGCATTTAATGATGACAGTATTTAATGATTTAAGTTAAGTAAGTCCTGGACACTGACGAGATGTCAACAAAATAACAGGTACATAGACTGACACGCCAGTAAGTTACTGAGAGAATTACTGAATAGATGAGGAGGTAGCTAAGAGATGCATGCATACAGGCATATGGATACCGTAGTGCATTATTAATTGCATACTTTTTAACATTTTTTTCGCAGAACTGGCGGCCGCCATTATCGTGCCGATTGTCATACTGCTGATAGTCCTAGCACTGCTGGCCGTGTTCTTGTTTGTCAAGCGTCACAGCCTAGGCCTTGGGTGAGTTTCTCTGAGCGAAAAAGCAAAATGCACCTGCCCATATGCAGTCCGTGGCGTGTTGGTACAGCCGTTATAATACACTGTTAAAATTCAGTTTAAACGCCGTTAGTTGGTTAACGTTCGTACATGTTCATACGCTGTGCTTTCAGTGGAGGCAAGCTGGGGAGCAGCACGAGTGTGTCGTTTAGAAGTGGCAGCAACATGGTGCAGTATGATGGCTCAGACATGCCGTATGGTGATCAGGTAAGCAGCATAATATATCGGCGACTGCATAAAACAGTTCGTGTCGTTCTCACTCACCTCTGGTGAGAAGCTGAGATTTATATCAACCTTGTGTGTATTTTAAATTCGGTATAGCATAAAACGTTCCAAACAAAGACAAGTTATGTTTTCAAGGTTCAAAGACAAATTATATTGCCAGTAGGCCATGCGTTGTTTCACCTTACTATCCATTTAGTCTTAACATGTGCATCTCGTAAATCTTTGACTAGCATGTTATAGTAGAATAATCACTATGGGATGTGTGCACGTTGTGCTATGTACTGGGTATTCATTACGTCTGCATGTTGATTAACAATTTTTGTTACGTTGAGCTGTTGAAAACCGTGAAATCAGCATATTCTATTCTAGAGTGCGATACTGTTTAGCACATTTACAGGTTTGCATTATTGCATGCATCACCATGATTTAATTATCATTACATTTTCCCAGGAGCAGAATGGCGTGTTAGATGCCACGGCCAGTGGTAAGGCTACAGACTTCAGTAACCCCGTCTACGACTCTGTAAATCTGGAGGTTATGAACCCAGAGTCGAAGAGCATGCCACCGATTTCTGGGAGCGAGTATGACACTGTCGACATACAGCCCAGCAGTGGAGCAGTTCAAACCTCTAATGGGAAAAGTGTACGTATTTTCTCTCACGAATATCGTGGCCAAAAAAAAATCTTTTTGCTTTTGCAGGCTTGTACATGGCAATGGTATCGTACACCGACATAAAGTTTGGGAAGGGTAGGGGCCTATCTCAAAATTACTCGACGTGTAAAGGGTGACCTACTTTCAATTCCCACCAGGACATGTTAGGATTGTCAATCAGGTTTATTACACGTGTGTCATATTTTCAGATACAACCAGATGATATAAAGGTGATGGTTCGGCAGACGGCCCTGAATCCCTCGTCTAAGGACACAGAGAAGGATACTGCTTTGCTTGTGGAGGAGGATGCTAGCATGGTGTAATTGCCGTCATGTAAAAAAATGTTATATTGGTCAGCAGCAATATTTTTTCTGTCAAAATTATTTTATACGAGTGATTGAGAGCACCTCGCACTCCTTAACCCCAAAGCTGTCTGTTGTAATTTTTAATATTAAGGTGACATTCCGTTATCATTTATTAGGAATGAAAAGATTTAGCATCCCGAAATGTTTACCCAGATCTATTCTAGAATCTCGAGGGTGAGAGTGGTGGCGAATTTTAGATATCTCATGGTTTTTAAATTAAAGTAGCATTTTTGCTACAGTATAATGTTGGTTACCAATTTTTGGACCACTACATAGGAGATCATGATGCGTTGGTTTTAAGCAGCAGAAAAACATGTCTGTTTACTAAATAGAATAAAAACATTACTAATTAAATATAAGAATATTAGATGGGCAAAATTTTACCAGTTTAAACAGTGCAACAGTAAGCTATGGTAATGCAAACGTGTGATCGTTGAAATATTAAGCAATTCAAAATTCCACCATTTAGTCACGAAATAGTGCATTACAAGGGTACGGGGAGTATAGCACTGTGTGTAAATTTCGTCTCGTTTATTTTTTTAGCTTGCATTGTTCAACTTGAGCGTCATTTGATCATCACTCTTACGCTCACAGTATATAGTTGATTAGCCAGGTTGTTCCATATACTCACACGCAGTTGTATGGATACCTGTTCATATCGGAAAACTCGCACTACTATTTGTTTATATCTGCACATCGAAGAAACATTCAGTTATCACAGCTGAGGTCTCTTAGCTTGTATTACCACCGGTGCTGCACTATATGCAATTGAGTATTGATCATAGTAAACGTATAAGTGCGAACATTCTAAGTAGTATGTACTCGAGACAGTAGATATTGGTGAGGGTAACCATGGTAACGTGGACTCACGTGACGTATTCATTCATGAGTGTGTTCTGTCAAATTTCGTAATCATGTGCAATTCTGGATATTTACAAGCAATGCTAGCAGATTTTATTGCTAGCAATCATACGTAGGCCTTACTGAATGGTTCATTTGTTACGTAAGGAATCCATTAAAAATCTTGTTCACGAATTACCGATGATGGGAGGGCGAGTTGCGGGTGCGGGAATACGTGAGGCGAGAGATGATGCGCCCCACGTACTTTTATTAATGGGGAGGGTGTTGTTTTACGAGCGCTCTCGTGAGAGACTTGAGCTTTGTGATATTGCTAGCAACGTTTACTCGGCGGCAGTGAAAAGCAGGAGCAATTACGTGTCGCGTTTCTTCCGTGAGCGCAGTCGTGCAGCATGTCTATGCAACAGATCACCGTAGGGGGAGGGGGGGGGCACTGAGATGTGAGGATGGCCTGCTGCGATATATGTATGTGCATGCAGACTATGAGCTCTAGGTGCTGTTTGCACGTGTATTAAATATTACTGGTTATTCTATATGCATATTTCGAACGAATCTGTATATAATCTGCATATTAAAATCGTTTTCCCCGTTTTTTTTTTGCTATTTAGCTCATTTAGATTTACATGAGATTATAGATTTTATCTCTGTTCGGTTGTGTGGTCTATCCAGAACTAACCCGGCTGAATTTACTGTTGGCAGTTGGGCAGGCTTGATTTAAACAGGTTTTATCCAATGAATATGTATACACCTTCACGTGTTACGTCATTTTAACTTGGCTTAGAATAAGCACACTGTGAAAGCTTACGGCATTTGCCATGTATTGCCAAGTAATGTTTGCTCGATGATGTACAAACATTCACTCGTTTTGGGATACAAAGTGATTTGAAAGGCAAGTGCGTGCGTAGCAAGCAGGTTCACTACCGTCCAAAATGGCTCTACATGTCATTCATAATATATAGATGTCATACTATTTTTGTCTGCTCGAGAAGATTGTTCTAAAACTGGTGTATTGGTTGAATCGAGGGTGCATAAACACACTAATGTGTATATGTTATTCTTGGTTGCATTAATCCACAAAAACATAATATGCCTTCAAACTACATCACAGTCATTCTTCATATATAGCCAGCCGGCCACATATAGTAGCTTGCCTTACAGAATTTTGAGTAACCTGAATCGTCATCATCGTCATTATCTTCATGCATGTGTCAAAGTGCTATGGTTTTGGTGAAGAAATAGTGTTGTAACTATATGTACATTGTACGTGTTTTGTAATAATAAACTTTTATCGTGTTATTGTAAAAATGTAACTCGAATAGTGGATGAATTTGTCAAGTGAGAATTGAAAAATAATGAGAATCAAATCAATTTTCACACAAATTTTTATGTTTGATGCATTCAATGCATGGACAACAAGTGGGCAAATGTTGATAGCACGAACCCTACCCACATACAGGGCAGCATTGTACAGTTGCGTATATAGGGGGTAAATACTATACATTATTAAAGCACCCTACACGGGACCAAAAATGCAGTATTTTCCTCTACACAAAGTGCCGACAAGACTGGGTAACAGCACAAAAATCCAAGCATATTCCTTCAAACGTTCTATACTAGGTGGTGATTGTCTAACGACTTTTTCCCAGAAAGAAACTAGCAGAGACAAGATGACGACGTCGCCGTCGAGTGAAACACTAATCCTGTTTCACCGTAATACAGTATCTGTAAAACTGTCGCCAGTTCTGCCGACCTAATTCTTACGCAGATTGACCGACTGATGGTGTGCAGTGTCGCCAAAATTTCAATCTATCACGACATTACTCGGCATCCAAAATTGCCGAGCGATAGACGTTTCAACGGCAAACTAAATTTATTCACGAAAGTAACTCTTAGTCATAGTTACTCGGTCCCTGCAAACAACTGCCGCATGGTAACGGCCTGGGCCACCGTTTGCTACGCATACATGCCCCTCGTCTACTCTATACACAGTCATTGGCTTGACACTGATAGAAGAACTCTTGCCACAACCGCAGTACATGACATACGCATTTCCATCTTCTACATTCTGGCCCAGTCCTTGTCGTCGGCCTGTCGTTATTAGCTGCATTACTCATCTACGAGTTATGATTGATAACACTGCAGTAGAGTTACATTGGATGACTTCCAATCACGGAGAACTAATTACGCAATTAATTGGTACATACTTGTTTCAATTAAGGGACATCACCACACAAGGCTGTAGCATCCTTAGTTTAATTATAAGATATTCAAGAAAATAACAAGGCAGTATTATAATACAGTACCATTCCCCTATAACAACCTTTCAAAATGTAAAACTAAACCTTTCATATTTATATGACTGTATTTAACTAAAACGTTCACAACTACTTCTTCCTGCTAGCAACCGAACCACCGTCAAACGCGCACACGACTTTCTCGATTTGCGTCTACATTTACAACATACACTGCTCCTTTCATGAAATTATAACAGACATATTCCTATGTGGGTAGCTGTAGTGTAAGCTTATCGCAATATAAAAACTCATTTTCCAGTTGACTATCAGACTGAGGAACTTGCAACAAAAATGCCGTTCATTTATTAAATTCCGCAAGAAAATACACGTGAATATCATTGTGCGTTCACAATAAATCTCTGTGTAAGACGGGCAAACCAGACCAAAGTTTTGACATGCCAACCATACAGACACCACAATCCTCCCACAAACAACCCGGTTGCACAGATTTGCTAGCTTGCAGGGAGAAGTAAGTGTTAATTAACTCTGCTTCCTCGACTATGCTTTAATATATGCACGAATAAAAATTATATTTATACAGACTGGCGCAAAAACCAATGGAGAGTAATTTTGGTGCATTCCGCAAATAGGGAGCAAGACAAGAAGAATCGAATATTCAAAGCATAAAAATGCTAGAGCAGAGGACATGATTTCCAAGTAGGAATGCGACAGTCTCGGACTTTATGTTTGCCAGTAGCTTCGGCACGCCATTGATATTTACGACAGTCTAATATCACACGTGAGCACAATGGCAGCAATGGGCAAGAATGCTCTTGTGTTTGTCGAACTTGAACTAGATACACCACCCTAGACCAGACCAGCACAAACCTGCAAACAGGACCCCAGATCTAGCCGTTCATCATCTGCACAGTGTCACTGCACCATTACCTGTGCTGGCCAACGTTTAACACTAAAACTTCACAGCTAAAATAGATTCACCGAAGCTATCACGTGACCGCAAACAATCAACACGGAAACCATAAACACAAGAGCATCTTTGACCATGATGCAAACAACAGTGAAAATCACGACTATGAATTGAATACGTTATAAATCCATGGATGTTACAGACACCAGTCAGAATGCTAATGTGAAGATAAACATACTATATTATAATATACCAACTTTTAATAAACAAACAACAAACAGATATGATTTTTGTTACATTACCATACCCCGATGCTGCTCATTCTCTGTAATTATGTTAATGGAATCAGGCGATTTTATGGAAGCTAGACTGCGTGAATAACCCTGTAAATGCAGTGGTTATATTGAAATCGGGCAACATCAAGCTTTGCACGGATTAGGCAACGTTCCAAATACTTTATTTTAAATTTACAATGCCAATTGCATAAGCACCAACAACGCAGTCACGCGTTCGACTGTGTACCAAAAACCAGAATGCGTGAACCAGGTGTACAGATGTACAGACATTGAAGGCTCCAGGGGCGTGGTCATGCAGTAACCGTTTCTTATTACATACAAACACTACGTAACTTCAAAACACAAACCGCATAAGCTACACAGGTTGCATAAATGTCATTTATTGTCATCACTGCTGCGACTATGAAGCCTACTGATAACCATATATATAGTCTACACCCTAGCCATAGCTCACGCACAGGCACACACGCACACACACACACTTAGTTTTTTTTTTTACAATAATAGCTTCTTTTCTTTCAAAAAATAAATTTTTTCTATTTTTTACACATGTAATATGTGGTGCAAGAGGGTTGATGACAGTTCCACAGTCAGATACTTGTTACAACGAACGTTCTACGCACACAATACTGGCACTGGAGCTTGCAGTGCGGAGGTTTTAGCACATATGAACTAAACACTTTGCAAGCATAGAAAGATACATGCACCTACAACACCCTCCCCGTCTACGCGTGTCCTCGCTACACGTGCGTTTGCACGTCGGAGGACGGCGACGGACGCGCGCAATCTGTCATCATGTGAGATGCACGCGGCACCATGCATCCTAGCCGCGTCTCGTCGAGGTGCTAGACTTATCGTCGCCTGTTCGCCTAGCAACACCACTAGCTGTCAGCGTACGATCGCTTGCAGCATCGCCAACCAATCCATCCAGCACACGCTCTCATCTCAATGCTTACTAAGCCAACTTTGCTCGCCTCGCTCCGTCAGACGACCTTGCACGACGTTGAGGGGTGACACCAGGTACGTACGTACTACTCGTGCGAACCTAACATCTTCATTGCACTTGTCCACAGTGCTGCCACGCATGCGTCGGATCGCATCACTCCCATCCCACCCCGGTGCAGGCTCCTATACACGCCTAACCACTTGCTGTTTGCCTTCGCGGAGACACAGACGCCCGACAGGCGATGGCAGAGCATGTACATGTAAACAGTTACAAATGGTTACAGCTACGATGGTATAACACGGTAATATGGGTATCACAATATGCATTTCCCTTTCTGTTTGCACGATGTTCTCATATTAGCCACGTTCACCAGCTGCAGTCATGCTCTGCAAAATTGCTTTCCCAAATGGAGACCACTCGCTAGTGCTTCTTAAATATGATACCGACTACTATGAACTGACTACTGGCTATTAAATGCTGAATGATAAATAGGTAGAAATACACACAGAGACTGCTCGTAAATATTCATAACAACGAAATAGCACTTGGTATTTATATGACTAAAGCGTGTTAGTTGCTTAAAACGATCCCTGACTAACATGTAGTTTTGATGCGTACCGCTCTGCAGAAATCAATAATACTAGCCACAGTTGGGTAACTATCAATCAACCTATGTGCTCGGCTCTCTCCACTGAGCAGACACGCTCCACTATCCCTGAACCATTCTATCCGAACCTGAACACGTCCCTTCACCACTGATTCCCACTAACGCCCTGTATAGACAGGGATACCAATCACTATGCAATAACTCTTTGCTAAACATTTGTCCGACTTTACAAAACATACGTTCGCACGTGCATTTATGTAATGCACACACATGCACGTATGCATGCACGCACGCACACACGCACATACACAAGATGCACCCACACGCACACGCACGCGCACGCATACACATTCACTGCCTCCCGACACGTATTATGTGCATAAAAGTCTATATACGATAGCAGTGTGATAGATATAGGTATACTATAGGTCTGTTGCCAGATTAAGGTTCCCGATACAAATAAAACGCGTTTGTCATGATATAGTAAGCCATGCTGCATATGATGCTGTGCACTCGGTCTGCTACATTGCACTAATCCATTGTGCGCACCTAGCTGCTACAGCAGTTCCAATACACGGATGTAACCTTCATCTAATAGCAGAGCTGCTATGTTTCAATAACTACTAAGAACTCCCCGTGTTCTCAGACAGTAATTACATCTAGCAGTTGCTTAATATGTACTAAAATATACCTGAAATCTTTGATGATAATCGACACAAGAGAGAGCGAGACACTGTACCGGGCCGTTTATGGACAACGACGTGCCAACACTCCTAAGAAATTAAAACGGGTTACGTCCACACGTAATGAGTATACATGGCAACATCCATCACTATCATTATATTCTGGGTCGGCGGTGGCTTCTATGTCTACAATCATCCGATTCGCAACCACACTGGCGCGGGAGCGAATGGCGGAAAAATCACATACATCGAGATCCGAACCAACGTCATTGGTTTTCTCCGACTCTCACGTGTCAAGACAACCAACATCTGGTGTCAAAATAGACCCGACATGTGAACGCGCATTCACCTGTTCGATGCAGTTGTTGCCTGCTTATCATGTATAGTTGCATGAGCCCAGTGGTCTCTCGTCTACATTAATGGTGCATTCGATTAAACAGACGTTACGCTATATGGCAGCAAGTTAATACAAAAGACTGAGCACGACGTGTGAAACAAACACACAGGTAAATCTGCCCGTAACCTGACCGACTTGTCACTCCGTGAATGAAAGCGTTTGGACACGCTTATGTACGTAACGCTCCTCCGCTAGCAAGCAGCACAAGCCAATAGCATGCCCTCTACCACAAGAAAATGTCCGTTACGTTCACTCGCGCGTAGACGTACGCACGTTGTGTGAGTGCGCACCAACCATGGAGCCAGTTTCAACGGGAAGAGACGGTGGTGACAGCAGTCATTCCCACTGATGCGCTGGGTGAACTGATCTGCAGCCGTCCACAAAACCGTCGAAACCACGGCATTTTCAAAAACAACAATCACGCATGCATTTCCAACGAGCATTCGCGTCAACCTCTGATGAGCAGCACATAAATTCACCATCCCTGCTCTATACCAATCGTCCCACGTTAGTCGACATTGGCACAGTAGGCCAGTCGCTATCTCGCCTCGTTTTTCTCAATCCGATTCTAGAACCTAAAAAAGAAAACTAAAACAAGTAACCGCTACAGTGGCCGCCTACTGCCTGGACACCACAGTGGAAGATAAAACTTGCTCCGCAACTCACATGCGTGGCCACTGGCTGATAACGGGCAGAAGCCACGGCTTCTTCACACCGGGACAGAAACCGACGCAAATAACTTAAACCTGACGGTCAACAACAAGTATTACGGAACGTATCACAAACAAGCTAAAGGTTTGAACCTGCAGTTTTTGCACATCGAAGGAGTGAAGACACCACTGCCACGCCAGCATCGTTTTCGCCACTCCCAGTTTTTGGCTCCAAGCGGTGCACTCTCATGCAGGGCGTTTGTACGATCGCCGTGGTTACGCAGTCACACGCTGCCAACAGCTCATCACGACCAGACGACCAGCACGCGAAGTAGGCACCGCCGCTCTCCTACCTCCCGTCGCACGGCGGCACACGTGCGCCTGCTCGGCTCGGCCAATCACAATTCAGCTTTCACTTGGTGGGGGATCGGAGGCCGGCCGAGTCGCGGCGCCGCTCGCGTGTTTCCCGCTCATCCCGACAGTTCTCCTTCTGTCCGCGACTGGCTCGCATCCTGAAGTCACGCTCCCTATTGCTGCGCGGCGTCTCCTTAAGAATGAGCCGAGCTGCAATACACACACCAACGTGGTTTTAGTAATGTCAGAAAGACAGATGGGTGGACACAGACAGACAGACAGACAGACAGACAGACAGACAGACAGACAGACAGACAGACAGACAGACAGACAGACAGACAGATCAATAGATAAACATGAAATGTTAATTACATGTTTGATTCAGATGCAGATATTAACTGCTAATAAAAACGTTGATCATACATGCATAGTCAGCATGAAGTCAATACTGATGTTCACAGAGAAACCAAAGAAAATATGGGTGAGAAACACATAACACATTTTCTGCTAAAAACCAAATAGCTCATGGCACAGATGCATCTACCAGTAATGGTAGAACAAATGCCAACATCATACATAATGCATATGAAATATTAAACAGCAGAACACAGCTGGTGGCAACATAGAAACATGAAACTTTAGGTATATCTACCATGCTACTACTGTCAGATGCAGAAATATGATGACATATCAGTTGTAAACAACTATTTTTGACTGGCATATTTTTCCCCAAAAAACTCTTATACTAGTGAAAACCTACAAGAAGAAATTGATTCTTTATCTTTTGGCTTTTCCTTTTCCTTGTTAGCAACAGCCAGGGCTTCCTTCTTCTCTTCCTCCTTCTTCTGCTCTTGTGCCATCTTCTCCTTTTCCTTCGCACGTGCCAATATCTGAGCATAACTCAGTTTGGGAGCAGACTTATCGTCAGAGGCCTAACGAGGAAAACCGATATGATAATAAAGATGATAGCAAACACAGTACCCTATACAAACGCACCACCAAGAACAGCAGTATACGTGCCAAGCAACACAACTAACGTACGCTCAATACTTAATAACCAACAACCACAACTACACTCACACAGATACATATAACATACTTTGTGGCATAACATATATATATATTGATCTCGCTTGTCAGGAATTTATGAAACCTATGACGGCCACATACAGATATTGCTAGCGTGAGGCGAAACATTCCCCCACTGTACAGTAACAGGAATACAATTAATATCGAACAAGCTTCCCTAGTCGTTGCCAGGGTATATAAATGTTACTAAATTTGAAACTATGACCGCTTCCCTACAAATTGGAGTACCTGGTGGGAATTTCATTATTGGATAAAGTGCAAGAGATGCACGACAGTCGAAAGGACCTACCTGTCCAGTAACAGTAACAGCAACAGGCCCATTCGCGACGGGTGTCGGCTGTGGCTGCAGTTGCTGTGGGGCTTGACACTGGATGCCTTTGCTTGTTGGCTTATCTGTACTGCTTTCAGAAAGCAATAAATACTTTGTGTGTGAGAATTAAAGATGCAAAATCCATCTCCTTAGTATCTCACTGTTCACATGTCTATGGATTGAGAGTGGCAGTGAAGGAGGGAAGGAAGGAGTGAGAGAGAAAAAGGGCGAGAGGGAAATGAAGAGGGAGATGGAAAGGAAGAGGGAGAAAAACGGACAGGCAATGCAATTTTTACAATAAGTTACTAAGGTTTTACTTGCTTATCAGTTCCAAGTTACAAATATCATTTTCAAAACATTACATCTACTAGAATAATAGACAAATCAAGGTGTAGTGAGCTGTCCTCACTTCAGAACTCCTCCCCAAGACAACATCCCACTCTTCTTTTCAACTAATCTCCAACTGCTACACTCAACTCATGCGTAACTGGAATACACGCACACTCACCTGGTGCTCTTGATGCTGCTGGCAGGTTTACCTGCAGCAACAGCAGCTGCTGCTGTCGCCGGTTTGCGTGAAGGAGGCGGGGAAGTAGCTGGCTTCACCAGGGTGGAGCTGGCTACCTTAGCACACACCTCCTCCTCTGGGCTCTTTACAGTCTTCTCTGTAGTGTCGACAGCTTTCGTGGAGGTGTTGGTGGCCTTGGTTAACCTAGTAGTGTCACAAGCAAAACGCATAGTGCATGATCAAATGCAGGCCCTACCGAAAAGGATACCATACTCAAAACGTGGTGACATCATGACTTTCCAGTAAAATTTTGTCAAAACACTTTTTGAATAATTCAACATATGAGGATCACATAATTTAGTGATTTTGACAATAAAAAAACAACATAAAATTACATTTAAAGCTGAAATTAAATTCACAGCATTACTAACTACTGTGACTAGGCTGTGACTATTGGATGTAATTATACTATAATGATAATTTTTTAATAACTGATATACTATTGCAATATTTGAAAAACTACAGCAATATTATTGCAATATTATTCATCCATTATAAAACCGTGTATTACATTGTTATCACACTTGTATGTTCGCATCTACATGTGTGTGCTCGATTTGGTTCACATTATTTACAATACTGATACTCTCATTCCACTCAAACACACACACACATGCATAGCGAGTGAGGAAGATAAGTGGACTATGCTTAGAAGACGACCTGGGACCAGATTAATTATTTACAACAACGATGAAAGTGTTGGTAATGGTTTTCCAGCATATTTACGTGAGAAACCATATATGTGACGGCAAATAAACCAACCTGTATTTTAATGGTTCATCTATTGGCAACTCAATTTTTCATTTAACTATAAGTAATAGTGGTAGATTTCCTTTTCCGATTTCGTTTTCATTTGACTTTTCAATCGATGCAATGCTATCAAGCCAAACACTATCGTGATTAATTGCTAGTTCGATGCATCGTTACACCTGTAATTATTACACTTGAGTAACTAGGTTATTTGGTATTCATAGCATTCATTATTTATTGTGCATGATATTTGGCAGAACTTGGAATAATTTGAACACAGTTCGACCTTCTCTTCCATTTCACCTCTCTGTGGACATGCAACCAATTTCATAGCACGCTTACGCATGATCCAGTCAGTGTATTTCCACTAGTGAAATCAACTCTAGACACTAAAGAAATAAACTCCAATCGACAACGATTTAAAGACGAATTCATACTTAAAAATACAATTTCATACACATGGATATCAGCGTGACTGCTACGTAACGGTTGCTGTGTACTCACATGGCGGGCGAAGCAGGCGGTGAGTGAGTCTGCGCTTCGCCATTCGCTAACGTAGCTGCCCCCTTGTTTGTCGGAGACATCGGAACCGTCTGTGTCTTACTGTCACGCGTCAACGGCTTGGCAGTTCCCTTGACAACATCTGCTATCCGGCTCTCAAAGATTTCCTCTGTCTTTGTAGTCGTGACCTGCCGCGTGAACAGTTCGGTTTGAAATAAGACGCGACACGATCCGGATCGTGATAACAAATCAGTAAATGCAGTAATACCCCGCACTGCCACAACTCGGGTTACGTGAATTCACAGATACGCCATTTGTAAATTATGACACTTATACCGCTGTCACATTAAACAGTTTGACTTTAGCATGCGTTGTTTATAAAATATGTCTGTGCTTGCAATCAACCTGCCACCTGCAACAAATATTCCCCAGGTCCAACATAGTAAGAGCATATAAACTAACACAGTCTTTGTTACTTATTTCAAGAGTGATTCACAACCACCTCAGCTGCTACAAAGAGAATATCAGCCTTAAACGGCAACCAACTTTAGTCCATTTTTGCCTTCAGGTCAGAGCGTGAATTACCCAAACTGACAATGATAGTGATAACGAAAACGAGCCAGCTATGAATAAAGCTTCTCCTCACCCGTTGCCTCCCAGTATTATCATGATACTGTGTGTGTTACATCGTGCATTTAAAAATGTTTACTAGCATGCACACTATCCTTCTATTACATGTTTTTGTTTAAAGATTTTCCATGGAAATGCATCTCAAATTATATAATGGAATTTAATGGTGAAATGCGCAGCTCGCATTATGGATTTTCACATTACCAACGCTCTTCTGGAATGCATTGCTCACGTAACACGATGGATTACTGTACGTCTGATGGACGCTTCTAGAAACGGCAGCAAATAAAGCGGGGGACACATTACGCGAATTTCGCTGCGGATCTACGCGGCACAAATATTCGCACCCGCATTCGATAAATTGAGCGGACACACTACACACGATCTACTGTCGCCACACGGCTCCAACCATGGCTCCATTAGTCATGTGATTTCTGGATTGCCGCCATTTCTCAATCATGTGATTAGCATACTGATCAATGATTCACTGCATTATAACATCGGCCGGCTCGATTTTTCGCTTCCATGGACACACGATGCGAATCTATACGCAGTGAAAATATCAAACATGTTTGATAGCTATTTGACACAATATGTGAATTTCGCTGCGGTCGTGCGAATAAATTTGCATGGTGCGTCCCCTGCTTAGGCAGATGAGCACAACATACTCACCGTGACCCCTGGAAGAGGCGGGAAAGAACTTGATTCTAGCTCAAAGCTAGGTGACTCCGGCTTGGTGTCCTTGGCAGTGGCCGTCAACACTGTCGTGTTGGTAGAGATGGTTGTTTGCGAAGATCCGTTTCTGAGCGGGCGAGCAGAGCCGTTGCTGCCGTTTGTATTAGCACCATTTTCACTTGCCACGGGCTCCTTTTTTCTTCTCCTGTTTGTCCTGGGTTGCACAACAAAATTCTAATTAGCACCACAAAGCAAACTACATATCTGATACTGATATACCCACGATTAAATGGAAAAACCACATTATGAATTCACAGAATAATCACTACAGCATTTATAAATTACTATACTTGTCAATGCCATCTAACTACACTTATACCACTGGTACTGACTTGTACACTGACATTTACTGACACCTCCTCAAGTTCTGAAGACACACCCACAATAGCCAGTGCATAATTGACACACGAGGTTTGCTAGTAGCTCAACAATACTTTTTAGACATTAAACACACATATACAAAACGCACGCAAGCACACACCACGCACGCATGCACACACGCACGCACGCACGCACCAACACGCGCACGCACACATGCGCTTGCACGCACACACGCGCTTGCACGCACGCACGCACCCAAACAGCAACTCCCAGACACCCACACTAACACACACAACACACCCACCCTGCACTACAAGCAGCTTGATAAACAACTGGCAACATCAACAGCTCCTACGCGTCTCCCATCGAGAGACCCCCACGAGTTCCTCCCGTGCAACTATCAGACAGTCTCCACCCCCAAAGCCGAGGCGGCGATGCACTGAGCTGTGCTGCACGCTGCTAGCGGCCTACCTCTGCGGCAACAGGTCTCCCTTGGCTTCACTGTGCGCCTGCCGGAACGCGGACGACGTCGTCTGTGCCTCACTGTCCTGCTTCATCAGCGAGCTGCCCGTCTGCTGGCTGTGTCCTGGGTAATTTGGTGAGTGAGCATCCCGCCTGCAGGCAACACAACACACACAATGGCTGACGCTCTGGAAGCGAGGGAGGGGACGACCACGCTGACTGGCACGCTGCTCCGGACCCCCATTGACGTCTCCTTCCCCCGTTCTGAACCCTGTCACGACTCTTCGACGGCACACGGTTACTAAGCATTGTTTTTAGAACCCATAGCCAATGCCGATTGGTTACAGCTGCATGTCAATAAATTTCCTGGTAAAGCGAGAAGCATAAACACTTTCAAAATGCGCCACCTCTGTCAGTGACTGCAAAGGGGAATTGATCGATCCCTGGCAAAGCGTAAAAAGCACGTGAGCGACAGAGAGAAAGAGAGATAAAACGTGTTGAGCGACGAGAAGAAGACACACATACCGATACCTGGAATGACTGTGTTCAGACTTGTCCCTGTACGACGAATACGACGAGTCGCTGTACGAGCGCTGGCCGCCGCCGCCGCCACCGCCGATCCTGCCATGGGCGCCGCCGCCGCCGCCGCCGCCGCCGCCGCCGCCGCCGCTGCCGCCGCCGAGCGACGGATAGCGGTCGTAGAGCGGCCGCGACTCGTAGCTGCCACGGTCGTACGTGCGGTCGAGGCCCCGGTGGTCGCTGCTGCTCATCGAGCGATGGCCGGATTTGTTCCTGCTGGGAGTAGCACGCAGACACACGCAGTCGTTATTAGCGTCGAACGCGTGGTCGGTATGGCGCAGCACGCACACACAACGTGTGCTCGGTGAGATGCTTCACACAGACAATCGTTTATTACGCTGCAAGATCGCCTAGCGTCGAAAAACATGGTCATAACAGTGTAGCAGACAAACAGGGTGTTAGTATGGTGCAGAAAACGTGGAGAGAGTCAGTATCTCGTACGAGACAAACAGGTTGTTTGTACTGTATACCAATTATCACGCAAAAAAGCAGTCAGTTTCGTCGGCGTCATACAACATTCAGAGGCAGTCTGAATTGTGAGCACAAAACTGCACACGACCACGCAGAACAAAAACGTGCTCAGTATCATGCGCTCAGAGAAACACCCGAGAGAAACATAGCATATGAATGATGAAAACCTAGCAAAATATAGGAAAAGTGTGACTGCCTCGATATAGAAATGCCACAGCACTGCGTACATCTGCAATGCTTTACCTGAATGAAAGGTAAAACATGGAATGATAATGCAGCAGATGGGCATTAGTTGGCAAATTCCCCATTCGCCAAATCAACACGAGATTTTTTTTGCTTTCTGAATAATGAACTACTATATTAAACTGCAACAACACAGTGTACCAAAGGAGCTTAACAACACCCGGGCCTGTTTACTAGAACCGTGATAAAATTTCGAATAGAACATATTTTGGTTCAAATAGTTTGGTTTAAAGCAAACTGATCGATTAAATATTCAATTTTTGGCGAGTGATAGTCCTAACCCTATCACCCATCAAGGCACAAGTATGCACATAATTTTCTTAAATTCACAAATAACCATCACTGCAGTGTGAGATAACCCACAATTGCACTGTACATGTAACTGAACAGTAAAACGACTAGTGCTGAATGTATGCTCGAGTGTCTGGCCTTGGCTTTTGGCTTTTGGTAGAGTTAGAGCCGTGTTCAAATAAATCACTTCTCTCACCGCAAATATACAATAGCCTTTAAACCAGGAAAACGAATAAGCATGCAGCAAAACAGTTCACACAGCAGCGTATTGGTATAGCCTGCCAACACGAAACTACACAATGTAAAATACTCTGATATAGCTGAAATTAAGCTAATGGCTTTACGTTATAGAGTTTTAGGCAAAAAACACTGTTTAGAATTTTATAAAAGGTTGCTGATTCACAGAAATTAACGTAAATAGAAGGTATACTATAAGGCAGACTAGGAAATGTAGAAGCAATCCCATTGTAACTAGAATGAAGCCAAGCAACGTCCACAAAATCCACAAATTCCAGCCTAATTAAACAGAGATTTTCACCTAAGATAAAGCTAACAAATGACAGTGATCACTTACAATACAGAGCAACGTGCTAGCTGCAACTCCTGAAAGTTCCACTACCTAATTAGCAATCACTAATTGGCCAATTTCGCATTTCAAAAAAAGGGATGAATTATGGATTTTTTGGCTGTCAAATACTTTCCGTAGGTATGGTAATAAATTTTAGTTAAGCTTCAGAGCACTTGCCACTATTCAAGTTTAAACAAGGTGTTTGCACATCCGGTAATACTAATAACACGCTGTCCACCTGAAATATTTAAATGTCAAGGAAAAGTTACAAATGTACTGTTTTCCATTGTAAACAGCTGGCTGTGCATTTTATTACAGCAGGTGCTTGGTAGCAAATGTCTCTTACCAGGCTACAAAACAATGTTACCGGGCATGCCCAGTCGAAATGCAAAATTGCTATATGGGGGAGCCAAGAGTGAGTCACAGCAGGAAGAACGGGGGACTGGGAATAGCACTCTTTATGCAGTCACCCAGGTTGACTATCTTGCTCACCTGTTCCTATTCATTCCCATCTGGAAGCCTTGATTAGGACTCTGTGCTGGCTTGAATGTTGCCTGTGGTGCAAAGCCATTCGCTGCAAATGCCTGCAAAATTGCACAACCTAATTAGCAGATTACACTATAGAGGCGGAACTAATTCACGCAATAAATCTACAATTGTATGGTAGAGTCGGGGGATGACCACAGAAAAGCGTACAACTGTATAAGTAAAGAGGCTGGGGCACGTATAACAATTATTTTTGAATAGCACTTACTTCAGATTTTTACCAGACAATAATTTTAAACAGATTAATATAACTTAATCTAGATCATGGTGTTCTTTTTGAACACTGTTCCTGGTTTCCAGTTGTACACATTTTGACAACATGCACTGGCACATTATTGTATGCAATTAGCACAACACGAACGTACCACTATTATTTGCAATGAATCACGTGAGGGAACATACCATTCCTGGTTCAAAGAGGGGTGGATTGGTGTGCCATGTTGTCGCTAACATATTTGGAGGATAAAATGGAAATGCCTGAAATGGAGAAAGAATGAGCAGATCAACAATAACACCTCCATAAAGTTAAGTCTGGTTTACACCATATCACTATGATGTTACACGTTGTAACCAGCGACAAATAGCCATAGCCCTACTGTAGAATCATAACAGACCATATACATAGGTTTCGTCTTACAAGTTACATATATGTGTAGTTACTCTGTTCGTCTGGAGTCAGTGTACTCAATACAGATTAGAAAAAGGAGAAAATACATGATTAAAATAACAAATAACCTGCATTCTTTCTCATAAGCTTATATAGTATAGAACATGTTATCAGCCTGTAAACGTGTCGTTGTTACCTGTGTGTTGAAAGGCATATTGACCTGATGAGGTGCAGCAGGGTAAGCATTAGCTTGCTGAGCAAAGATCTGACTCTGGCTTTGGGGAACTTGCACGGGACTCTACAAGATGAAAGTACAGAAGCTACTTAAATGCATGCCCGATAATGGGTGCTTAACACACTGCTGCATGTCTTCAAGTACATCATGTTTAAAAAGTGATTACGTCACCGTAAATAGTAAAAGTAAAAAAAATGTCCACTTTTTCACAAAATGCAAGTGATTCATCTTTTATGGTTAAATTGCTGCATTATACTTCCTATTTTGCTATTCCGTTCGATGTGAACAAACACTCGTGACTCATATATAGCCCATAAAAGCATGTAATGTCACGATTAATATATCAAATCGCCCAGGTTTTTTGGATTTCTAACTAGTCGAGAAACAATCTTATCAGGTAAGAATTTGAGGATACATTTAGTCCCATTAGTACTTACTTTTCATGTAAAAAAATTGCAACAAAATTTTCACAAATATACACCATAGAAAATTTGTGACGTATATAAAATTCGTGACAAAATGACATAATAACTATCTAATGGTGCCAGGTGTACCACACAGCCAACGATATGAAATGAATCTATGTGTAGTAATATTTAATTATTTTTTACGAAATATAATCTGTTACTGCAAATAACGATGTTGAGCAAGTTTTCATCACCTGCGCAGACGAGCTGACATTCGTATGTGCCTGGTTGGCCCCTGCTTGTGTCGCGGTTGCCGTGGTAACTGCCTCATACATACTGCTTGTAGCTCCACCTGTAGCACTCATCATCTTGAAACCTTTCTTAGGCACGTAGGCTGCCCGTGCAAGCTTTGCCTTTATCCTTGCCTGAAACATAAGGAATCACACCATGAAAACAAAGCTGCAATGAGCATGAGTTTCATACTGTGCAGCATAAATATTAAAAATTGAAGTTTAGCATTTGCTACCGTCATATATCCTGGAAATCTACTACTATTACTTATTTATGCTTCTAATGCATAACCTTTGGGTGTAGTGTAGTGCAGTGTAGTGTATTTTGGATAGTATGTGAAGTCATTTAAAACTATAGCACTATCATAAATTGATGCACATACACATATCAAGACCAGATAGCGAAAGTATACCATACAGTTTGACCTGTAAAAAATGAGCTAAAAATTACAAGATTCCCTCGGTATGAAATGAAGACAGTAAACACCTACAAACAAATGTTAGCAGCACGCCAATTTACTAATATGATTGTAGAGGCCAGCAATGAGGCTCTATTCGTAGATCTGTCATGTCGACACACGACATGCACATATTAACAATTCACCGGGACATTTATAGATCGATGCCCACACGCGCCATGCTGCACACTCGGCTAGACTCCTCGTCATGTGCTATCTCTGACAGTGCAGCATGCTTGACTGCAAGGCCATCGGCTCACCAGAGATGCCAACACTTTTCTGAGCAAACTGTAGTGAGGATATCTGAAATCTGTAGTCCGAGGGTCACGCAGTGACCCAAGTGTGTTAGGGGGGTTCGGGGCATGCCCCCCGAAAAATCTTTGATTCCGAGATGCAATTTCCTGCATTCTGGGACCCAAAATGATAATAAGTTTACACTGATATTTGCTGCTAAATACATGTAGTTATTTTTAATCATGTTATATCAATGTAACATTGAAACAAAACACTTGAAATATCATAAAAATGTAATCAAACGTAATAAAAATTGTAGTTGTATGCAAACTGGTCATAGTGGTCAAAATGCAAACGAAATTCGTATAAAATGCGCATAAATTGTAGTGGTTGGTATCTCTGGCTCACCCTCACACGACGCTACGTTAATAACCTTTACTCATGGAGACAGAACGATAACGGGGACACTGCCAACTGACAGTGAAGCGCTGGTCGGTGATAACAGTGCGAGCTAATTGACCAGTTAGGCTGAGAAAATCCTCCGGCAGCAGCATTGAGACTGATGAACCCTCGCGGCCACCGTGGAGTGGTGAAGCCCTACTGAATGCTGCATGGGCTTTATCATCCAGCCCATGCAGGTTCCACCTCCACGTGGGCCGCATCATACCACTGGTTCCGTCACAGCACATACACGTTCTATCACCCCCCTGACTCAGGAATCGTTTGCCCCTTCTGAACCCACTAGCCTAGCAATGCAAGTAGTTTTTTATTGGCTGAAATCTACATCGGCTTCATTAGACACAATTCATGGAGGTGTTGCCTCGCCTACATCACACATCATAATATGCCATGCCAGAAAAACTCAAGAATAATAGAGAAATCAGATCTAGAATCAGTCCAGTCATTTTTACATTTGTCATTACCTATGTGTGGTGTGATTGATGGGGGTTAACCGTAGTTCATCAACTTAGATCGTTGTTTAATAAACCACGTAGAAAATGGCTTTAATCGTCACAGTCCCAGTCACAGTCAACCGTGGCTCAGATCATGACATTTACATTATAAATATATTCTCTTTTATATTGGCAGACGTGTCTCCAGTAACAACGGGTACGCAGAAGTGTCACCGAGGACGTAAAACACATTCTCGCCAGTGTCCACGTTAGTGACAACCCTCACTCTTGCCGACGGAATCTCTAGCATGCTTGAAGGTGGTCAGAACATGATTAGTGAGGAGTAGCTACGAAAAAGTCTGAGAACGCATTTGCGCTCGCGCGCACGCGTGCAGTACGTACCATGATCGGCTTGCCAGCAAAGACGACAACCTCCTCCCGCAGGTATCTGTAGGCTTTCTGCGCGTCCTCATCGCTGTCAAACGTCACGTACCAGCTGTTGTTGTGCGCAAATTCACAGTTGACCAATTTCGGGCACTTCTCACTATTAAATAGATTCTTGATTGCCTGAAATATAGAATCAGCGTGTGATGGCAGATACCGGGCGTGACGACCAGGTACGCGATGAAAATATAAGAGGCCGGGTATAAGATCGCAGAGCGTGAAAGCCATGTACGAGTCCAGTGTGATCCAGTTACGAGTCAGGTAATGTGGAGTACTGCACACAGACCGTTATGTGCATATAACATGCATATATTATTTACTAATTTATACATTATTATTATTAATTGGCAGAGGAATGAGTAGGATATTGGAGTACTGCCCCTATGTATATATGAGTGGTAGATGGACCAGTAGGATGTTTGCGTACTGTATGCAGGTGTGACTGGCAGAAGCAACAGTAATAAGAATGGTAGGGTACTGTACCTCTATAGGAGTGGCATCTGGAATTTCTCTCAAGATGACGACGCAGCGTTTGTGGTTGGGTTTCACCTTCTCGCCTTTCACGTCCACTTTTACAAATGGAGACTCTGTGAACATGAACAGTCAAAATTCAGACGTTTACAAATTATAAGTGCATAGACCGATTGAAAGCAGTTAACTTGATTGGTATACCACACAAACGCGAACCCTTGGCTGGTAAGGGGCCTACAAGTTAATTTTGACTTCATGTTTGAGGGAAATCATGCCACTTCCCAGAATTCAAATTTAATTACTCAGTATCCTCAATAACCCAATGAATTCACTTGCTCGAGAGTGATGGAAACGTTTTATCTCATAAATATTTCAGTTTGCCGATTTGATCGGATCGCTGCCTGACAATTATACAACAAATGTGATAAGGTTTCCCACGTCACAATCAACGGCTCAATCATAAGTGCACACGCGCGCATGCACTCCTCCCCCTGCACGACTGGAGATCATTGGGTTGTCCAGTGGCCAATGCCAGTGCTAGTGGGTCTCATGTTCACGTTTCACGCCAAAGGTTGTGAGCACTCAAACCCCAGCCAGGCCAGTGAATTTTGTAAGTGAAGTCAACGAAGGGTACACCTTTGTACTCACGTACAACAGCGAGGCCAACTTCAGATATGGGAGTGAAAAACAATCGCCAAGGTACGTAAAACACTCGAGCGGTTGTTACCCTGAATGTCACAGGCGACGTATGTTCCAGAAGCAAACGGTTCGAATAATACGACAAAGATTGCAACACACATCCTCATACTTACGTCGCAACACCTCCACAATCAGCGGCACATCGGTGGTCAGCTTCTTCACCTGGTTGAAGTTGGCGATTGTCCAGATGGGCACAAACTGCTCGTCGTCCATTTGACTGAGGAGGTATGTGTCGCTGGCAAGATTTTCCCTATGAAGACAAGGGCCCGGCCCCGACATGTGAATTACTGAATTATTTAATATTAATTTATAGTAACAGTATTTCTTGCATTCAGGTGCATAATTAAGACTCCTCGTTGATTGAAATGTACATTAAGATGCATCTTGAACACAGCAGCAACATCATGCAGTTACGACAAATTCTTTTAAGAATATGTGTAAAAATTGTACGAGTACTGTTGAAAATTAAAACAGACCCGCTATTAAAATGTTTTACGAGTGTAGACGAGCGGACATATAAACATCGCACAAAACAAGAAAATCAATGTTTTTCGGATTTATCGGTCATCGTAAGCAGACAATTGAGGTGCACTGAGGGAGGCTGTTATGAATCATTCTATCCAGCTATAGACAGCTCCCAGCAGCATCGGACCAAGTCGGCAGACAACCTCTAAGCATAACCCAGCAACTGTGCCCATGTCACATTGTCAGTATTTCTCTATGACAATACAACTTAAAGGATTATATAGCAAATGTTGCGATATCACAAATAGAGGTGTAATGATACACTAGGGCAGTGTAGGGTCGCGATACGATACGTACCTTGATACATAGGTCACTAACAGAAAGATATGTCACAGCCATGGAAATATATAGTAAACAATCGGTTACTATATACATATTTCTATGGCTAAAACACACTGAGACGTTCTTAGAATGCTCTAGACCACAGGCACTTGAAGCGTTTCAATAAAATATAATGCTAACTAAATACGAAATCTATTTACTACCAAATTCTTAATGTTTCTATACTCTCTTTCACCTATTATTGCCGACAGTTTCCTGCCAATTCCGTCCAAATCCTACATGCAACCATATATGCTGCCGGCGCCATTGCTCTCGTGGCTCCACTGTTGCATGCTTACACTAATATATATAGCAGGTAGGAAAGCGAGATCGCAAAATTCGCTTGACGCTCGCTGGATTTCACACTTTCACAGCACGAATACACATCCAACAGCTGCCATCTTTGTTTCTATGTCAAAAACAGTGTTTCCTTGTTATAAAAACATACTCTCTGCTCGTAACCGAGTTGTGTCACGCGAAATCACACAAAGACTGACGAAATTCTCGCATTTGCAAACCTTGCCCCGTAATGTAAATGGCTGTCAGAATCAGGTAACACCTACCGGCGCTCTTCGTGACCTCATTCTTGCGCCGCAATGCTGCAACGTTTTTGCAACATTCCTGCGCGTCGCATATAGTCCATAGACTGGCACTCGCTCCCACCTCTCGGCTTAGCTTAGTCACTCGATGGGTAATCGAGGTGGGAGCGAGTCCCAGTCTATATAGCCCTGATTATGACAGCCATTTACATTACGGGGCAAGGTTTGCGAACGCGAGAATTTGATCAGTCCTTGCGTGATTTCGCGTGACACAGCTCGGTTACGAACAGAGACAGTATCTTTTTATAACAAGTGAACACTGTTCTTGACATAGAAACAAAGATGGCAGCTGTTGGATGTGTATTCGTGCTGTGAAAGTGTGAAACCCAGCGAGCGTCGAGCAAATTTTGCGATCCCGCTTTCCTACCTGCTATATATATTATGCAGTTGCACGTGGGATTTGGACGGAATTGACAGGAAACTGTCGGCAATAATAGGTGAAAGAGAGTATAGAAACATTAAGAATTTGGCAGTAAATAGATTTCGTATTTAGTTAGCATTATATTTTATTGAAACGCTTCAAGTGCCGGTGCTCTAGACTGACCAGTAAGCGACAGCTCCACTCACATGCACGCCATATACACAGCGCTACAGTATGTGCCACTGAAGTCAATCAGCACTCTTCATTGTTTTGCGGTAAAAATTTTGGCGGCAATAGAAGTGCGCCACATATATTGACCCAGATTTCTACAACCGCAGTTCAAATGTTTTATTAATTAGTTTAGCTTGCCTTATTCACTGTTTACCATCCGTATCGTTTGTATCGCGATACAGACGCTGCGTATCGATTACCGTATCGTGGGCCGCCGTGTCGCGATTATTGGTGAATCGTGATTATTCGGTGAACACCCCTAATTATAAACCACGCCACAGGTTGGACACATCGAGGCGAGTGTCTGCTGCTCTCACATCAGTCTTACCTAGAGAAGTAGAACTCCAGCTGTTGCTGGAGCAGCTTTTTCAACTCGTCAAGGGGAATCTGTTTGTCCAGCGTCTGACTTTCATCTGCAAACAAACGAAAAACGATTTCCTGGTGGTGGGTTGGCAAATATAATAAATATAAATTGAATTGGCAGACGATAAACCTGCAACAATTGCAACTTGACACTTGCGGCCTGCTGACACTGTCCTCGTCTCTACACAGCCTTCCTTGCCTACACTCTTTCTATTTCTCCCCTGTACTCAATGACAAGCTAGCAGCTAGCAGCTTGCAATCAAGCCTTTCCTTTGCAATACAATACGCGGCATGTTCTTTGGTTGTTTTACCCTCGGATTTCCTTAATTAAGTACTGCATTTGCATTATTGCCTTGCGTGCCTAATTGTCTATGACGATATTGCCGTTTTTACTGTTATCATTACGATGCTAATAAAGAACAAAGGCATTTGAAAAGTACTGAAGAGAATTAGGATTTAAGCCATTTCACAAAACACACTAGCAATTCTCTGAGTCATCAGTAGCTCCTTTGTACTGTGTAGCGTTTTAAGATGAACAAACAACGAAACAACCATTAACAAGTGTTAAACCATCACGTCTGTGTTAGTCACCACAGAGCATCCAGATAACAAAAAACTGCGGGTCCCACAATTCCTCGACACATGTGCGAAAATGTCAGAAGTGAAGTTGACATGCAGTATTACACTGATGATGGCTTTTTCGCATACAGTAAATGCACGTGACAGCCAAGTCATTATTTATTCATGTGGCTTTATGCTCCCAATTCTTCACTTATTATGAATCATGCCCTATTCGATGTGTATCATGAATCATCACACTGTGAGCACACATGCGACCAACTGTCAACATATATATCCACATCATTTAGATATTTATTTACTAGACTATTTTCATGAGATAAGTCCCGCATTTTAGATATGACAGAAGCAATTAAATAAATTGTATTTCATGAGATGCCCCACATGATAACACCATGACTAACTATTCTTATCGCGTGGACAGAGATAAAGGGTAGTATATCATAATGTTCTCATCTCTCTCTTCCATACTATGACAATTATCACTTTCAAATCACTTGAGAAAACTACAGAAATCTACATAGCAATCATGGGTAGTGTTAGAGGTGTTATCAAGAGGTAAAATATGTTTAACAATCAATCATTCACAATAATCGCGTTTTACTATTTCACGCCGACAAAATACTATGCGGACACCATTTGATCATTTGACTGAAGCATGTACATTAGGACCTCACACACACTCGCCATCTGCCCGAATAGTTCCCTGACCCCCAGCTACGACGTATAGTTTCATGCCATCATGAGCGAGGCAAGCCGTGTCGTACCTAAGGTGACGCCGGCTTCAGCAGCTATGGCAGCGTAGCATGGCTCGGCTGCTGCCTGGATGGTCGCCCCGTTCGCCTCGTCAAAGTCGCCGACCGGTGACAGCGTCTGCATCGGGGAGGAGTCTGGCGTTGGTGGAAACACAGTGCATGGGTACTTCCCAGCATCACCATTCATCTGAAAGCCTGCAAGAGATTGTAAAAAAGCCACGTACGTGTGAGTATTAAATCGAGCGAATAACTACGAGGTACGTTCTTCTCCTAGGAACATTCTGCATTTCGAACCCACCTCGTCAACAGGGTCAGATAGAGTGGATCAGGTTCAGTGGATCTGACCAAACAAACGGCCAGCTTATGGCACTCTGTCTCATCCGGATCAAATAATCCACCCACGCTCCCATCCAGTCGGCTTCACCTACTTTTGGGTTAGCTCTAGAAATTATCTCTGCAGAGCACAGGGAGAGATGCAAATGTTATCAGTGCTCATGGCCTCATGCACACAGCCCCTTGATTCGTATCAAATGAGCAGATCTATATTGATTCAGTAAGACCTCTCGGTATAAATCCCACTTTGGGCACATAATCAAGTTTCTTACTAAAAACCGGCAATTTCATTGAATGTGTACCAGATGCATAATTAAATTTTAGAAAACGTGTTGTATTGTACATGCTTTTACCGACTCCGTGTCTCTGTTCTATGCTTCTTGCTCTGACCTCGACCCCCTTGCTCTCTTGCCCTCCTGCCCACGACCTCCCTCTCTCTCTTTCTTCCCCGTCCCTTTCCATCTTCTATCTCCCCTAGCTGACTCCTCCCCTCTCTTTCTCTTTTCTTTTGCTCTTGCTCCATTCTCTCTTGCTCGCCCTGCTCTTATTCTCTCTTCTCTCCCCCCCCTCTCGCTCTCTCTCTCTTTCTCTTTCTCTTTCTCTCTCTCTCTCTCTCTCTCTCTCTCTCTCTCTTCTATCTATCTATCTATCTATCTATCTATCTATCTGTCGTCCGTCCGTCCGTCCGTCCATCCACCCATCCATCCATCCATCCATCCATCCATTCATCCATCCATTCATCCATCCACCCATCCATCCATCCATCCATCCATCCATTCATCCATCCATTCATCCATCTCTTTCTTTCTCTCGCTTCTCTCTTGCTCACTCTCGCTCTGTCTCAGCCTTGCTCTCAGCGACCCTCTCTCCCTCCCCCTCTCTCCACCTCCCCTCGTCTCTCGCTGTCTCCCTATTCTCACGAGACACACTATACACGCGGTCGCAAATTAGTTTTACCAGCAACGTACTAGCAATAACGCTGTAGTGCCCACAGGCCTGGTAATATTCACAAGCAGGATGTGAATAGAGGCTTCCTGCCTTCAGCGTAATTGCAACAATAGTTTCAACATTTAGGTAATCGTGAAAACTACTAATAGTACTATCGCAAAAACCCTTTCACCATTTAAACATAATTGCGTTTGCGTGCTTTCATTTCTGTTACCCGGAATGCTCACGAAACGAGCTTCAGAATAATACAGGCTTTATTGCAATTGTGAGCGTTGACGAAAATCAATTATGGCATAGAAAACAGTGAGGATTTAAATACCCCACTACACACAACACGCCTCACTGAAATATTGTGTCATCCCACGCAGACATGCTCACACCAGCAACTGAAGCAACATTGGTGGAAAAGGGGGGAACAGAGCGACTCTACACGGTTTACTTCAAGTACACTGTATTACACCAAGCAGCTGTAACCGACTGGGCAAAGGTCAGTTTTACCGAGCAAAGTTAAATTCTCAAATTTTACAGCAAGTACGTTCAATTACGTGTATCCTGACCAAATATTTTCAGGTGTACATAATGTCAAATGATATTATATTATAAAATCCGTTATTTGAGATCATTTACACCTGCTATTTTTGTGTTCCCGATAATTGCCTATAAATAAACTAAATGCCAAGTGCTGATCAGTTGCTTGCCTTTTCTAGGTTCATACATGACAGATCCAACACACTTATAGAGCATATTGATTTGTACATGTATATAATATAATGAATGCCATCGATGCCCCACAGCATAGGAACTGGGCAGAGTAAATGTCAAGCAACTTCACACAGACACGAGGAGAGTAGTGTTAGACGTCATTCATCGAGTGATTTGATAATCTTAATTATGAAGGAATCAACAAAAATGCCTCGGGTGCAATCACAAAACATATTACACTACTAGAAGAAAATATTACGCTCGCCCATTTAGTGGGAAAACAAACACAGTCAAGGACATGTCAACCTTCATGAGATAGTTTCGTTTAATATTAAAATAAAAGAGAATTTATGATTAATTCTAAATTATAACGAGATTTCGTACAGCCGCGATCGCGATCTGCACATGCAGGCAGCATTTAGGCCTATACGGACAACGATGAAACAATGTGGCGCAGATGAAGCCGACAGCAAGTGATGCACACACCGCGCGTGCATTGATTTGTACGCAGTGGAAATGACCCATGATATTTACACACGGTCTCTCCTGCACCTCGCAGGTGTCGCTCGCTATACAGCAGTCTCACTATACATCGCGCGCACATCCCATTTACAGCGACGCACAGCCATCACCTTCCACAAGTACGGCACGCACGCACGCACGCACGCACGCACGCACACATAGAAAGAGATAAAGAGAGCGAGAGAGAAGGGAAGAGACACAGGCAGACAGACAGAAAAAGAGGGAGACGGGGGCGAGGGCGAGAGAGAGAGAGAGAAAGAGAGAGAGCGCGCAGAAACGAGAGAAAGCACTCCGAGAAAGACCCGTGAGAAAGATCCCGGAAAGAGCGCGGCGAGAAAGCAACTTGAAAAGACGCAGGGTGAGAGGGGGAAGAGGGTAAGGGAGAGAGTGGGGACGGTGAAAGGGATGGTTATGGGGAGGGAGAGGGAGAGGGAGAGGGAGAGGGCGAGGGAGAGGGAGAGAGAGAGAGAGAGGAAAGGAAGGGGAAGAGGGGAAGGGAGAGGGAAAGGGAGCGGGCGAGAGAGAGGGAGGGAGAGGGAGAGAGAGCGACATCATTCATGCGCGAGGGCGCCCAGCTGAGAGACTGCTCGCATCACTTGCACGTACACCGAGAACCTCGAAACCAGAGCAAACACAACACTTACCAAGTCCAGACAATCCAGCCTAATTCGGAAAAATCCCTCCTACATATTCTACTGCTACTACAATATCAATCAAAATGCCGGACAGTTCCAGCCAACCACTACGACTTAATTCCGCCTCTTCTCATATCGACGATAATACATGTAAAACGAAGTAATGACATGTACGAGCAAGGACATGCGTGACCAGGTTACCAATAAATCGAAGTCACTCCCGCTGGTGATGGAAATTTGCGACTCACGGAGCATTAAGCGCAGATCCCCCACTTACACCTGCGTGTAAGCATGCATGGTTGCAGCAAAACATGGCACCATATCAAAAGTCTCGAATTTCACTAAGGAAGGAGATTTAAATGAGTCTTTCGGCTTCACATGTGTGCAACCGATTTTAGCAAACACGTGGCGATCGCTGCCTAAAACACTGTACGGCACCTGGACGATGCAACAAGTTACGACTGCCTTGCTATGCACGGAAATCATCAAATTACACTGATGAGCAAAAATAGTGAGAACGCTTCACACATAATATGCAATCGTTCCGGTATTGATCAAACTGGCAAAAACACGTTCCACTACAGACGCTGCTACCGTATCAACTACCGTATCTGAGCTACCGTGTGTAACTCCAACCTGAAAGCTGACTGGTTTATCAGCGTTTCATAACAAATAAGTTATGAAGCGGACAATTCTCAACCTAATTGTGTACATGTAAGTATACAAATACACATATATATATATGCAGTATATTTATCGTACATTTTTGACGGAACTCCACTCCAAAAAACAATGCAGGTGCGAGTAACAGGTGAAGGAATGACCATGATGGTATCAGCGGTGGGTTGGTATCATTACTTACCATCCTGCGTCACTATAGGAGAAGCAAGCAGTTCCGGCTCCTCCCACGTGCTCCCTTCTGTCTGCTTAGTGCTATGAAAGACATTGGCATTTGGGTTCAGTCCTGCACTCTTCGGGGTGACCTGCACATAAAAAATACACATGTAAGAATCGAGCCGCCTGTAGAGATTTTAAAATTATAGCGAAATATTGGCATATCCATGGGAATACAATATCGATACCAGTTAAACTCTGATAGTGAAAAAACAAGCATAACAGCAGCGAATTCTCTGCAGAAATACAAGTTCCAACAAAGTGAACACTGTCAGTTTATATAAGGATAACAAACCATATCACAATGTCACTGGATGCTGTAGAAAACAAGTATTATTGCGTGTATATATATATTTTACGTAACATAAACTATTACAATAATACTTTAAGGAACTTAGTATACATATTAATAATTCGTATGTTCATGGTATTATGCGATATATATATATATGGTAGAACATTGTAGTTCTCGTGTGCATTGTGGAATCAAATATGCTAATATACTCCATGGTTTTGTCACACCAAATCAACGTCAAAGAAACAGTAACTATAGTGAACACACCTATGTTTACATTAACGACGGGAAAAGTAAACCGAGAAGCCATAGATAGTGTGAGTTTGCAGATTCTTTCGCAGACGTTGCCTCCTGTTTAGCACTTTAATACATGACTACGATATCACTTAAATAATTTTGTTGACACAACTGTACCGTGTCATTGGATGCGCTGTCGCTTTGCTTCTATCTTATTGACATTGAACATTATCACCAAAAATAGATCAATAAACTTAGCTGACATATATCTTTGAGATCATCACCTTGTAAAACAGAATAGATTTTAATGTAAACGATTGCGCACTAATATGGACACAACTAAGATCGCACGAGTTGGTCGTTGTAAGTTGTTTAGCTTGTGCTAAAATAGCTGAAAATACTAATTACTATACAAAAGAATGTACAGCTGTGGAAGGGCGATGGACAGCGTAGGGCTAACACACACACGCGCACGCACGCACACGTACACGCCCGCACGTACGCACGCACGCACGCACGCACGCACACACACACACACCACACGCACGCGCACGCACGCACGCACGCACATACATGTATATATTTTTTATTTATTTAGTTATTGGTTCATTAGAACTATTACTAATTCTTGTTAGCTCCGTTCCGCAGAAGAAGTTTTCGGAGCCAGTCCATCCCTCATTCCGGGATTGGTAACTTGAGCAGTATACTGATTCATTTTTATAGCTTTGACTGTTTGGTTAGGTATAAATCAGACTTTTGTAAACCAGGACTGGCTGGGTTTTCAGAATTACTTCCATGACTGGTATATATATATATATATATATATATATATATTCCAGTCATGGAAGTAATTCTGAAAACCCAGCCAGTCCTGGTTTACAAAAGTCTGATTTATACCTAACCAAACAGTCATATTATATATATACATTTTTATAGTAATAAACTGCATATATATACGGTATACACAGGATGTATTGCAAAACTACTACTAGCAGTAGCATGTCTGTATCAATATTATATAGGTTCAACATTCGGACTTCATCACGCATTTTTTTAATGTGCCTGTCATGTGTTGCATATTACGCACTATACAAACAACAGCCTATCAATATCAACATCAATAGAAGTTAATTGGCTTTTGGTGCTATTTTGTCACATGTTCAGATTGCTCAATTTCTTCGAACTGCCATCTTCCTAGCTTCAACTTCTTTGACCACGTCACTGGTTGCTATCTATAGTTGCAATTAATTATATTTAATCGCGTAAGTAATATGACCAAGAATAATCCTGGTACAGGTAAGTAAATACGATATAATAAGAATTATAACACAACATCATTTTGAGTCTGATATTTAAACACATGAGCATATAACAAAATTCTTTTACATTAATTATGAACTAAAATTCACATGAGGTACATGTATTTCGACGACGAATAACTGGGCATCTAGAATTCACATGTATCCACAAACTGACGTACCCATTGATAATTCATCGCAATGGACAAAACTGTCAACTGTTTTAATGATGTGCTTTCTAAAACTCAGAGAACAAAATCTTTCACGAACAGTACTTTTTTATGCAAAGCTGCATACATTTGCTGTAAAATCAATACAAGCAATCACTACAAACTGATAGTCTCAAATCGCAAATATGGCCTCGATTGGTTTTCCTGACTAGTACAATAAATGTTAGTAAAATACTATTAGTACAGCATCACTACCATTTCAACCCTATAATCCTCTCCCACTGAATATTTTAGTTCATTTGTGCAGCATGCAAAATGTTATTGTAATTGTAACTCTTATAATAATGATTCGTAATAAGGAACGTAATGATTCTTATAAACCTCCATTATCAGCCCTGATTATTCCTTTGCAATTGTAATCTAATCAGTACTATATATAGCTACTCCCACTCTCCATGTCCCATTAGTCTACATAGATCTCTGTGCCTCACTATCCCTCGTAGATACATTAGCCACTCCCCCTCTACTTATCGATACCTCAGTCATTTTCCCTTGCTAATCCTTATTGATTCCTCAGTCACGCGTCCTCTACATTTTTCAAATAAATACCTCGGTCACTTTCTCCAGTTATTTCTCATTTTAAAATCCTCCATTACTATGCCAATCAAATTGATATTTCATTAAGTTCATTAAGGACAGCCTTAAATCCCTAATCTAAACGTCCACCACCTACTGTCACTGTCAGTGTCATCCACCCACTCCATTCGTGCCAAATATATCATCGAGACTCGCACTGCTCATATTTCTCATCAACACACCCACCTTCCTAATCTATCTTCCATCAACGCGGCTCTGTTATCCTCTCGCTCTAATTCTTCCCAATCACTTTATACACCAACAGCCCGCTCGATTTCTCGTAAATAGCTTCTGACACAATTCTGCTCTATTTATTATAATTACCTTAGTTGCCAATCCCTTTCTTCTTTCCAAATCCCGGCGTTAATTTACCATTTACTGCTGCAGACTTTTAATAACATATATAATAAATTTATAATATTATCTATCATATATTATCAATTATATTTGTAATAAAGTCAGCAAACTTAGTTTATGCCACTGATAGCATATACTACTCGTCCTTTTTACCACAAGCCACATTCATCCCGTGAACTTGACTTCAATTAATGGGAACACGGAAATAAATACTAGCAGTCCGCTCTGCCCGTATGTTGTCATGGCAACACAGCAGCTGATAAGTCGGTCCTGTAGCTGGACAGAAGCTGCTCATGTACAACAATTATCTGAGTGCTAGCTGTCAATAAGCAAGTAGTTCCACTACGTGAGGGTTTCCCTACCTTCATTATGTTACCAATTTTACAATTACAGAAAGGAAGCGGGAAGGGAGAGATAGCTACATGGGTGTGAGAGAAAGAGAGAGAGAGAGAAAGAGAGAGAGAGAGGAGCGACATGCAGACCGACGGGATGAGAGACTAGAGAGACGAGAAGTGAGTGAACGGTGCAGTGAGTGTGACTGAGGAGGTGTTGAGAGAGAGAGAGAGAGAGAGAGAGAGAGAGACAGAGAGACAGAGAGAGACTGTCTTTCTACACATCTGTATGTATAAATGTGTACACGTAATATTATGTCTAGATATTTGTAATTTTGTATACGTATTCATACCCATATGCAAAAGGTACAAGTGTACATCACGGGAAGCGCTCACACTCACAGTAACACACAGCAGGGGAACTCGAACAGTATATATACATTGCGACATACGACCGCAGATCTCCTTCGCTAAACGTCGTTCAGATAGCAATGCAGATATTTCCGCAATTTACCATGCGTTGAAGTTCTAATAGCATAGCTAGTTGTAGTGAACTTGGTTGTCAGTTAATCGCCATTGACTGGTCATAAAATGAATCTGAACTCGATGAAGTTTGAAAGTTTGTTCTGTTCTGAAGAGTTTGCTAGTCAGAGCATGTCGATCAGCAATTTTGCTTTCATTTCAGAATCCGAGAAACTGCAAGAGTTCCTAGGTCACATGTACTATGCGTATTAGGATAAAATGCTTATTTAGCGCTAGTAGTAAATCTCTGTCATGCCTGTTCTGCCTGTCAACCACAGCTTCAACTATAAAATTAAACGTCGGCAGAACTAAAAAGCTGGCCAACCATGGCATGTACAAACGTATTTTATGACAATACGACAGCAAAGTAGTTTAATCAATTTCATTCCAACTGACATGCAACTTACATGGCACTCAAAACTTCAAGTGAAAATTTAGTAAAATCGCGTGAAATTGATAAACTTCTCCCTCTCGCAAACTCAAGAAAAGGGTTAAGATTCGACCATAAATAGGAACATTTCCTCATGTTGAATATATAACGTATAAGTCCTATACTCCACGTTAATGGCTAGTTCCTTGCTAAAGCTTGGGTAAGACTGTGAAAATTATAATATAAGAATAAAAAAATTATCAAATTGCTCTATGAGTCTATTATGTTCCAGTTTCAGAAAACAGGTAAAATGTGGTAGTGGCACCATTGTTTTAATCGCTTTCAATACCACCCATAATGTGACTGGGGACATCAGCTACTAATGAGGCAACTCTAGGTATACTTATATGTTGCAAACTTGCTTCTGACATTAGCACGAAATCACAAATCTCACGGAGTACAATATAGTCATTCCTGTCATTGCCGCGCGTCATTCTCATCATCATCGCCATCATTCTTGCTATTATCACTGCCTCCATCATCCTCGCAGCTGTTACTAACTCACAGTTGTCACGTTGCTTATGTGGGATTTTTGCACGTGGGCTTTAATTTACAGACAGGCTTGTAAAAAATCTGCAGCGACCATGGAGGCACAGTTGGTTGCTATGACAACCCAAATTCTATTGCTTCTGTTGATGTCAGTGGCAGGCGGTTACAAAGGCAACGAATCAAAACCTTCCTATAACACAGCAAGTGTCAACAGAGGTATATAGGCGATGCGAGATGCAATCTTACGAAGCATTATTAAAAAAGCTTTTTCAATATATACTGCCCAATATGTAGTTCAGACATACAGCAGATGGCTACATGAA